AATATTTTAAATTTTAAAAAAATATTTGTTTCATTTTTATTTAATGTTTTTTTGGGGTTAAAATGAAAAATGATCAGTTTTACTTGTTTCTATTTCCTGATCTTAACATGGCACAAAAGGTGGCGGCCCTCTTTCACATGTTAGGAAGTCAAAAATGGTTTTTGGCTAGGCCAATGATGGATGGCACGGGTATTATGGCCGTCTTGCACCAGAGATCAGACACCCCCAGATGAGAAAATCATAAAAAAATCTCGTTGGCGTCCTGGGGATCGAACCCAGAAACACACAATACATACGTTTCTACCCACCAGGCTAGGCCGACCTCTTGATATAAGATGTGTCTATGACATAAGATTACAAAAGAAAAATAGTATTTTTTTTTTTAATATAACAACTAAAATATTTTTTTATTTAAACTTGTTTGACTTTTTCAACGCGTTTAAAACGTTAAAATACATTTTTTTAAACATTTACTTTAAAGGTATTAAGATTTTACATAAATTAACTTATGCAGAAAAATNTTTTTCAACGCGTTTAAAACGTTAAAATACATTTTTTTAAACATTTACTTTAAAGGTATTAAGATTTTACATAAATTAACTTATGCAGAAAAATAGTTTTAATGAAGTATTGGACTGTCAAATAAAATAAAAATGTCGTGTATTTTCTAAGTTGAAATGTATTTATGTTTAACGCAATACAAATTCGAGGGGCTGGTAGAAACTTAACCATTCTGATATTAAAATTAGCACTTCGAAAATTTTAGAAAAGCTACATGTAAAATCATATAAAAAGAAATTTTTGAGAAAGGAAAGTTAATAAATATAATAAGCCACTATAAAAATTTTGTTTAAATTGTGCCTACGGTTTTTATTTAAAAAATATGTAAAGCGAAATCTATGATTTTACCCAGGACGTCAAAATACCTTTAGTGGATACTCTGTTCAATAGACACTTTGATCAATATTTATGTGATTAGAGTAATTATTAGTAAATGATATATTAATTAATAATAAATTTATTATTATTTTAATAAATAATAATATAATCAATAATGAAAAAAATATTAAACTGAAAAATTGTACAAAAAAAAACATTGTTTTGGCTTGTTTTTAATAAACGTATTAAATATTGTTCAAAACAAAATGCTAAAAACATTTTGCTGCCCTGAGATTTTCAATCTACTCTATGTTAAAAAATAACATGTACTCGGGAAAATGTAGGTCATTGAAAAAAATTGATGAACTATTAACTTAAATTCAAACCAATGCAATAAAAAATTTAAGGAATTCTAACAAATATTTACCCTTAGATCAATAATTCGCACTATTTCTTTTTTTAATAATATACTTATTAATGAAAAAATCAAAAAATATCTCTGTACTTTATTAAATTAATTATGAATGATTAAAAGATTTTAGTTGATATTTTTTTTTAAAGAAAAACTGTATACTTAGCACAAAAATAATTTATAATAAAGGGTTATTTTTTATTATAATCTATCATGATTTTAAGTAAATTATTGAAAAAAAATGTTTAAAAATGTAATACAATTGATTATTTGCGTCTAAGCATTTTACCGGCTTATTAAAAAAAAAATTGTCTCCTAAATGTCATATTATTAGATATTCTTCGACTCGCAATTGTTGATGATTTAAAAATAACTTTTAAAATAACAATGTTTGTTAATAATTTTATACTTTACAAATAGGGTAATAATTCAAGAAGTATACAATAAGATAAAATATTATAATCTATTTCTTCTGTTACTTTTTCTTTTAAAAAATATTAAATTATCACATTCATGATATTACCGAGTTTTGTTAAGTTGTCCCTGGAAAAACTTATTTCTTATCGTTGGCAGCAGTTACTCTTTAGTTATACTTTAATAAAAAATAAATATTGATAATACTGTATTCCAGTAACATCAAGAAGCGGGTAAAATATTTTAAAAGTTTATTGTAGGACGAAGACAATTTTTTATTTAATAAAAATTATTCCATTTAAATATAAGTATTTTTTTTTTTTTAAGAAAATAATGAGTAGTATAAAATTAAAGAAATTTTTTACTTTTCTAAAATTTCATTGTTGTTAAATTACATTTTAGCCATTAAATTATGTTAAATAAAACAGAAATGTTTAATATAAATAAAAGTATCAATACACTGTGTATTTATTCTTTATTTTTAATTTATGTATTTTTAAGTTTAAACAAAACCAAAGAGCAATTTCATATAATTCCAATTTTTATTTGTACCTGATACGTATTCGTGTTTAAACAATAAGGATTTTGATAAGTTCAACAAGTTCTAAGGCGGTTGATCTCCTAGGAAATCATAAAAACAGCAAAACTTAGGTACACATCCGCCAAATAATGGCAATGTGAGATCACAACAAAAAAATAGCGGGAAATATATTAAGCCTTGGAAAATTTCACCGGATTTTTTTGTATTCACACAGAGCTAGTGCGTCCTATTTCTGTGTACGGGTCTCTTGTTCATCAATGGACTCAAAAAAGGCCCGACAGTTTTGTAACTTTGAAAAATCTCTTCTCCTCGTTCATCCCTTGTTATTATTAATACCCTTCTATGTTGTTGCTTAACTGTCGATAGAAAACCTTTACACCATGCCTGGTAGCCTTTTGTGGCATTTGATTGACCCTATCTTTCGTATACAGGGTGTTCCACCATGTTGTGACATCTTAAATACTTTTACACCAGCGAACATTTTTCGTTATTATTATTTTTACACTTTTGGGCTGTTTTTAGCGTGTTTATTATTTTTTATCATAATAATAAAAAAATTTATTTTAATTTTAAAACAATTTTTAGCCCTTGTCTTACGAAAAAATTCGTTTGCCCGATAACTACTTTAGGATAAGTACTTAACGAGTACAAACAATTCATACAACTTGGGGTACAGCTTAAACTAAAAATGGATATTTTAAAATTTTGAATAAAATAAAAAAGTTTATTTTTATTGTTGATAAAAAATAATAAACAATCTGAAAACACAGTCCAAAAATATTTAAAAAGTAAGTAACACAAAATATTTGCTAGTTCAAAAGGTATTACTGATGTCAGAATATGGAGAAACACCCTGTATACACAGATGCACTATATATTTATAAATAAATATGCCCATGTTTATGAAGTTATATTTGTAGGATTCTAACCACGTTTAAGAAGCGGTTGGTCATTACAAAACGTAACCTTAACTTGTTTGCTTAATACAAGGAAAATCTACTAATACGCGGTCCATTTAAAGGTCAAAAATTAAACCGAAATAAAAGATATTTTTCGTCCAAAAATGAATAAAATACAAAGTTATGTTCAATTTCAGTTGATAAATTGACTGAAGGCAATTCAGAATCATATAAAACTGATTTTTAATGATTTTTTATTACTCCATACTGTACTCTTAAATTCGCTTTTTAGCGCCGTAAAAAATTATAATGAAGCTGACTTTAAACATCCATTATAATCTATTCATATCTGCGAAAAATATTGGTTTTTTTACAGAATAAGAGCAAGTGCAATGTATGCCGCTGGATATTTAATTATCATTTACATAAATTGTTAGTAAAGATAATATGTATACACAAATTACATGAGTTACCTACTATCACAAAGACGTAATGTGTCTATACGTAATTGAGTTTCCATACTTTCCAGAGACATTGAAAAAACTCGACGACGGGAAATTTATTTTCAATAGACCGTTTTAATGCATATTCTTTTACCTCGTTGTTAGTCAAATGGTTTTTTTGAAATGAAAAGTTCATGACTAGCTGTTGTTACAACACACATAAATAAAGTGTTTAATTAATGGAATTAAATTTGGTTTATACATCATATGACGCGTGACGCTTTCTATTAAAACAACAATTTACTGACATTTTTATTTCATACATAATTGTGTATAAATTTTACAAAAACATACATGATATTTACATCTTGGTAGTCATTATGCAACATTTTATAAATAGCGATAATAAATTCACTAATACTTGGTAAATATACCTTATGGTGATAAATAAATGCCCTCAATTCTAGTAAAAAACAATTTTTTGACTTTTATAAACAGTGTTGATTTACTTCATTTAATAACTTAGACAATAATTCTCATGAAAATGACTTTAAGATCAGGAAAAAATTTCATTCGTCTACTTCATTTTATGTAAATTCATAAACTCTTATCAGAAAATATAATCTTTTGTATAGTATCTAAAAAAATGTTTAAATTAATCAAAATTTCTTGATGTATTAACTAAAATAATACACATATGTATGTAAAACATTTATGCCATTATAGTTATTTATAAAGTATCTTATGCATAACGATGTTATTTTTCTTGACATAACAAGGTAATTCTAAAAATAATCGATTCTCAAAAAAAATTATCTGGCTGAGAGATTATAAAGCCAGCTATTTATTTTTTAATTATTTTCTTTAAATTTATTATTTATGCATGAATACATTTACCCGAAAAAAAAACTTAATAGATCAGACAATACTTTGTTAGTTTTTAAAAGTCATATTAAAAAAATAGAACTAAACTATATAAGAACTAGGTAAAAAAAGTTAAGTTGACACCCCTATAACACATAAGGGAAAATAATATAGAATATTTTATGACAGATGTAACTAGTGTTAAAAGAATCAATCAAAACAACAAAGTTTTCATCATTATTATTCGTACTGTCATAATAAATCTGGAAAATAACTGTTCTAACCTTTAAAAACAAAACCCAAATAGTAAAGTAACCAAGTTCACAAATGTTAATGAGGTAAAATTATTATTGAAGTGGATAGTTTTCTATTTTATTATATTTTTTTACACTATTATTTTAGATTAAATTTCGATTTCTTCACTCGAATGTCTCTAATGTGTTTTTTATTCTGCTTAATTTTCGAACAAATTTAAAATGAAATTTTTCTGCAACTAATAGACGTTCTACAAAATAAAGAGCTCTTGTATACATTTTCTGTTTCATTACCTATGACTTTACTCCATTGAGCTTGAGGCCTCCATTCCGGAAAATGCTTCGGGAACCGGTCTCTAGTCCAAAACGTGCGCACTGACACGCGGTATCTTGCGAGTTTGTCGGGCGAACAGGACGGTGACGCACCGGAAGACCGGCACCAGGTGGCCACGACAGCCACGAGGCACACCAATATTAACCGGCCGGTGTACAGCATGACGTTCGACGGGCGCGTACTTTTCGTAGATGTATGACAACGGTCGGCGTGTCGATCGGACCGCAGGCAAAAGTTTACTAACCAACGCTGACTGTAACAGCGAACCGCCACCACCGCGCCACCGTAACAAATCTTCCAACGTGTTGATTTTAAAACTCACCCTTTCCGTCCCGTGCATACACTAAAGTATGGCAAGCCAATCATAATTTCATTTTTTTTACACACCTTTTTGTAAAATAATTTAATTGTAGCAATATAAATATTAAGACAGATTAAACATCTCATATATATATATATGGAGTAATTATTTATCATTAACCACTTAATTAGTCGAGAAAGAAAAATAATATTGAGTTTTTTTTTGTTATATTTTGTTGATTTCTCTTAAAGAGATTATGTTCAGAAAATTATTTTTATAATTTTTTTAATTTATCCATTGTAATGGTGTAAACTTTATTTTTCAAATAGCAACATACATAATTAATTAGTGTATTTAATAAATCTAAATGTGACTGGTCAATAACAAAATTTGGGTCAGTATTTCACAATTTTTAACACTGGTCATTTCCGGTCACACTCTTCCTCCCATCTTTGTAAAAAAATGTCGATAACATTCCAAAATACTGGTCCGAAAGTAATTGTAGGCTAGTCATTATTTTAATTAGATAATAATCTATAAATAAACTAATTAAATATATATATTTCCATTTGAAAAAATAAAGTTGTTACCCTTATAATGTACAAGTGATCACTATAAAAAATACATTATGGTTGATAAATTGAGAAAAACGTTTACTTTTAGGAAACCAAAAAAGAATGGTTAAATATAATTTTTATTTTGCGACTATTTAAGTCGTGGAAAATAAATCACTCAGCGGGTTGATTAATTTGTCCAAACTATACAGGTATACATGTGCAGTATATTTAATTTTTTCAGCATTGGGATTAAAATTCTTTTTTTATCGTTTAAATATAATATAACGTTATCTTTCAATTGAGTTTAACAAAATTCAATAATTAAAAATTATACGATTTTCATGTTTAACGTTTTTAATATTAAAACGTTATTCAATATTTTTCGTTAAACGTTAAAAGAGGTCGAAACATAAATCATAAGCAACTTTTAATTTGACACAAATTACTACTGTTTTCTTACAAAAGATTTTTTTTAAATTTAACGTATGAAAATAATTTATTTTTGTTTTATGATATGAATTGTATTATACTTAATGATATTTTACGCTTATTGATATCACATTATTTTTGTTTTTAATTACACACGAAATTTTTCGTTTTAGACATTATTCATAATGCTTTCTTGTCGTGGTATTTAGATAACTGTGTCTCTTTTTATATAAGTCGATTGTACAATATTTTTCTATATTAGGCTTATTTTTTATATAAATCAGGTAATTACGCGTCAAGAATATCCAAAATTAAAAAAAATTATTTTTGTACACACAAGCAGAGTTTTGCAAGTGAGTTACTCGTCCTTATTATTATATTATTAATAAATTAATAAGATTTACCATCTAAATAGAGTACTTTTAAATAAACATTAAAAAAATAATTTAGTAAAAAGTAACATTTGTCAGGTGTGGGGTTCGAACCCACGCTCCCGTTTGGGAACCAGAGCTTAAATCTGGCGCCTTAGACCGCTCGGCCAACCTGACACATGGGAAACGGTTTACATTTAATTAAAATTAACTTGATATTAACTATAAATATTATCAGAGATGACTTAACAACAATATTATAGGAGACCAAATTTCAAATTCTCTGTCTATACAAATTTTTAACTATAGTTAAACAAAACATTTGTTTAAACATTCTATGTATACAGGTGATATTTCAGTATGATACCTCCCTTTTTTTTTATTAAATAATGATTGTTTCATTTATATGTGTAAATTATTAATATATTTATTTTTATAAACCATATAAAATATTTAATTTATTATAAGAATAAATTGTTAAAGGAAAACATTCGAAAATTGAATGGGAACCTATTGTTATTTTTTTCTATTTGATGAAAAATGGTCTAAAAAAATGTTTTCTGGTCGATAACTAGTTCTGTATTATTAATTTTTCAGTTAATGTAATTTGTAGTAATAAGCGAAATGGACGGGCGACGTTAACAAATTCTTATCTGTGCATGACGCACAAATAATCTATTTTTACCATGACGGAAAAATAGAGATTCAAAAAATAGAACACTACCCTCATATCACTCTTTCTAAATTTTTAAATTATATCAAATATATTAACAATTAATATTACAAAAATAATTATCAACCAGTAAATTTTATTTGACCATTATTCATTTAACAGTAAATTAATAAAAAATAATAAAAGGTTTAACATTTAATTTTCGAAAATTACTCTTAAAATTTACCCTTACAAATGATATTTTCTTCCAATAAACTTGATATCTACTATAGTTTATAACAATAATTAATTTTTAGTCAATATATTTAAAAAAAAAAATCATTACTTAACAAAAAAAATGGGGATTATCATTCTTAAAAAATCAAACTGGGTATACAATGTTAAAAATCATTGGTCTATTTTAGCTGACTAAAGGGCTCCTCTGGATCAGCGCTACCCATATTTTATAAAGCTAATATTTAAAAAATATATCTCTAAATAATTTTCTCATTTGATCATCACTTTATTTTTAGTTATTTCAAGCATAAGTGTAATTTTGACATGAAGTATCAAAATAGCGTTTATATAATAGTTTTATCACTATTTATCAAATTTATTCTTTGCTTGGTATGCGTTAAAAACTTCCAATACACATATGTAAAAATACGGATATTTCTTTCAAAAATCTATCTAGCACGTCTATAATATTAAATCAATTGAGTTCCTTCCCCTAAAAATCATGCTATAGATTCTATTTGAAAGATTCGTCAACTTTAAATGTAAATTCAAAAATAAATGATCTGATCAAATCCAATATGATTTTTGAATGATACTCCTAATAACTAAGTAAAAATAAGGTAATATTTTCAAAATATCTAGTTACATATAATTGTTTGGCACCGGGTGTATTAAGAACATATCCCTATCTTATTTTAATGGGTAATAGGGCAAAGTCATTAAAACAACAAAGCCTCATCTTCCTAACATGTACTCAGTAGAGCTATACGAATAGAACACATTAAAAGTTTAAGTGTAGTATATTAGTTTGATGGGTCGCTTTATACACCACAGAATAGTGTGGTTTTTGGCGTTGCCATAGTGAAAATAACACCCCAGTTAATGCTCTTTTGGAAAGTAAAGGGTCAAAGTTGATACGGTAGGTCGGCATTTACTTTAACGAATATTAGTCTAAAAATCTAACTCAATTATTTTACATGATCATATATGTATCATATCTTAAAAGACGTACTCGATTTATCTTATAATTCTTAAAATAATTACATTATTGAATATTACAAAATTTACTTTTAATATAATTATAGGTAACAGTTATATTTATAATAATTGTCAGATAATCGTTAATTAATAAGAATAATTTTTAATAAATCAAAAAAAAATTTCTGTCACCTCTATTTCTTTGCTCTACCGATTTATTACAACGATTCGTTAAAAGATTACAAATCATATGTAATTGAAGACATTGTCCTTATAAGTTGAACAAATTACCCTCATTCCCCGTAAATGGGTTAATTCCCTCAAAAAATTACAATTTTTAAAATCCATAAATTTTGACATTATTTTTATTATTTCTTTTTTTAACCGCCATAATTTTTTCAAAAATGAACTAATCAAAATTATTTTTTTTTAATAGAAATCTTAGATATTTCCTGTTCATTTGATATACATTTTTTGAAAACCTGGCCCTTTACCTAGGGTAGGATTCAAAATAGCCAATTTTTTACAAAAGTCAATTTTTTCAATTTAATATTTAAAAATTTTCCGTAAATACTGCATTTTTTAAACATATGTTAAATTAAAGCTTATGTTAAGCACTATAAGAAAAAAAAATTTGTCCCGACAACCTAAATTATTAATTTAGACCTATTAAATTTTTAATAAATAGATTTAAATTTATTAGCTATTTATTCATATATTATACTTATAAATCATAAAACTTGTAATCAGGATACAAATAAGGAAATAGGAGATCATATAACTTTTGGAATAATCCATCAATTTTTAAAATTAAACACTATCTACAGATTTGCATCGAAGCGTTTTTATGATAATGATTTTAATCACTGTCAGATATTCAACTATGCCACGTCACCACTGTGCCGCGACCCCACTGTGCTGGGTTTTTTAAACTTTAAAATGCTATAACTTATTGAAAAATGTATGGATCAATATAATTTTTTTTTTTTTAAATGTATAAATGTATATGTACCTATTATTTGGTATATATATTTTTTTAATCTGACTACTCTCCTGCCCACAGAGAGGATTCAAAATAACAACTTTTCACAAAAAATGAACTTTTTCAACTTCATTTTTGAAAGTTTTCCGGAAACTCAATTTTATATACAGAGTGGCCCACCATTCACTGACAACTTAAATAACTTTTGATCCAGTTAATATTTTTAGCTGATTTTTTTTTTAAATATTAGTTAGACGTTAGGTCTATAGCTATATCTCAATAATTAATTTTTTTACATTTTATTAAAAATATTAATTATTTTTAAATTTTAAATAAAATGTAAAAAAAAAATCTAAGATAGCTATTTTGTAGAGTAGAATTTAAGAAAAATTTTAGTAAAAAAATATCTTATTAATATTCAGTAGTAAATATTCTGTAGCGTTTTGAAGTTTGTGAAAATTTGAATTTTCATGTACTATTTTACGGTATTAAACATTGAAATACGTATTGAGAAAAGGACAGAAGAAAACGCTATCTTTTCAATATACTTTTGAATGAGAGTGATAAGTAATAATTGCCTTATCTAATTTCTTATCATGGTATTTATGCCAAGTTTGTAATGTATACACACTATCATCATATGTATACACAGTAATCATGAAAAGATAGCGTTTTCTTCTGTCCTTTTCTCAATACGTATTTCAATGTTTAATACCGTAAAATAGTACATGAAAATTCAAATTTTCACAAACTTCAAAACGCTACAGAATATTTACTACTGAATATTAATAAGATATTTTTTTACTAAAATTTTTCTTAAATTCTACTCTACAAAATAGCTATCTTAGATTTTTTTTTTACATTTTATTTAAAATTTAAAAATAATTAATATTTTTAATAAAATGTAAAAAAATTAATTATTGAGATATAGCTATAGACCTAACGCCCAACTATTATTAAAAAAAAAATCAACTAAAAATATTAACTGGATCAAAAGTTATTTAAGTTGTCAGTGAGTGGTGGGCCACCCTGTATATCTTGAATTAAATCTAATGTAATATACTTTATTATACCATTAAAAATTAAATTTATAAAAAACAATGAATTTTATGAAAACGGATATCGTAAATAATGAATGCATCACAGGCTAAACGAATAATGATGACAATGAAATGTACAATAACTCATAAGTAATTTAGATAAATATTTATGACATAATGACATCAAAGAAAAGAATGTCTAGACACATACTAATAAAGATTCAATAATCGTATTATTCAATAATCATTGTCGGTAAAATTAAATGGAATTTTCGCAGCAAACCCTTTGAAATTTGAATTTGCCGTATAAACAAAGGTAAACGATGTATAACTTAAATATTTCTTATTTTTATTTCAATTGGACAAAATACTGTGTCATAAATTATTGTTCTTCAGTATTCTAAATGAGTGCTACTTTTTTAACAAATGATGAATTTATCCGAGTTCTAACATTTATGTCTCCTAGTCACTGGATTAGCTATAAGATCGAAATTATTTGTGCAATTTCCATAGGCAAAGTAAATAAAAATCATTATTTAATAATAATATAATACATATACAGTGTTTAGTAAATAAGGAAACAGGTCAATTGTTATAAGTAATTAGAATAAGATAATCAATTTCCCTTACTTACTGAACACTGTATACTATACAGCATAATTTTTTGTTATGAACTACTTAATTAATTGAAAATTTAAATTAATATTGATTATTATTTTTAGGCTTCTTTAGATATACTTTCAATTTATACATCAGAAGTATTATTTATGGTCATACCTTATACTTATGAGGTCAACTTTAATTTTTCAAATATACAATTATAGTAAATTTTTTTTAGAGTCGAGTTTTTTCTCCGAATTTATTTTGATAAAATTAATAAAAATTCATCTATTTTATTTATAACTGGATAAAGACAGATTCTTAATATGACCCAACTGAAATTTTAAAAATTCAAAAAGTTAAAAGATGAACTTCTTACTATAAATTTTTTTATTTTAACTTACAGATATTGTTGACCAATCTACAGATAGCAAATATTGTAACTTTCATACACTTAAAATTAGGTAGTAATGTACAAAAAAAAGAAAAAACAAAATTAATATTTAACGTACAAAAAGCCATACCTTAGTAAAAGTAATACTTCCATAGTTTCGTATAACACCAAAGTGTGGCTAATTCTATAAGAAAAAATAAGTCAAAACATGGCTTAAATATAATTTTTCAAAAATTTGATGTCCCGTTAAACCTAAAATTGTTAAGACTCCGGTGCAATGTAACACGTGCAACCCCCAATAATCCGGCACAATCACAAATAGAATTATTATTTTTTTCTAACTTTTTTTTATTTTTAATATAATAAAAACACACTATAAAGTTTAAAAGAATATTTCAAAATTTATTTAACAACATATGTGTCAACAAACTGGGAATCATCAAGTCAGGTTGGCCGAGCGGTCTAAGGCGCCAGATTTAAGCTCTGGTTCCCAAACGGGAGCGTGGGTTCGAACCCCACACCTGACATACACTTTTTTTTAATTTTTATAGTTTTTTGGATAAACAATACAGAGAATTTCATTAAATGATTTATTACATTTAATAATTATACATTACATTTTATTTAATACATTTCGTTAATTTATACATTTTATAATTCTTTAGGTAATTGAATTTGGATCATTTTTGTCTTTTTTTATCATTGTTTCTATTAAAAAATATATTAAAAATTTTTAATTTAGACATTAATTAATAGACGCAATTAAAAAAAAATGTTAGTTTTTAATATTATATCTGAAGTTGTTATATTGCATTTCAAATAACAAATTATGTTTCTAGAATTTCATAAATTTAATTTGAAAACTTAACAAATTTGAGATTACTGAAATTCAAAAAAATTAATTAAGCCATAACTTCATTATTTGTTTTGCCATTTTTTTTTACTTTTAAACATTTTTTAAACATAAGTAATTATCTGAATATGATAAGATAAAGAAATGATAGATATTTAGATTTATTTTTATTCGAAGTCACCATAATTTAAATAACCTAATTTTAAAAATAACAATAATTTAAATAAAAATATAAAAGTAAATGTTAATTTGTTTAATTATAACATTTTAATTTTTTCTATTTTACCTTAAAAATTTTTTTTAATAGAAACAATGATAAAAAATGACAAAAATGATCCAAATTCAATAATTAAATAATTATAAAATGTATTAACAATAAATCATTTAATGAAATTCTCGGTATTGTTTATCCAAAAAACTATAAAAATTAAAAAAAAGTGTATGTCAGGTGTGGGGTTCGAACCCACGCTCCCGTTTGGGAACCAGAGCTTAAATCTGGCGCCTTAGACCGCTCGGCCAACCTGACGTGAGAGTTGCTAAAATGTTGATACATATATAATTATAACAGTTTAAATTATAATTCAAATTTGGCAAAAGTTATATAAAAATTGTGAGATTAAATTAATTTTATCCATGATTGGATGAATTTAATATTATACGATTTCGTATAAAATCTATCATCACAATAATTCCAACGCCATGGTGCGCACATCTTGTAAAATCCAGTGGGGAGATAATTTTTTAATTTTTGTAAATAATAATTATACAAATTATATAAATATGTTTTTATCTAAAATTATGATTTTTAGATACCAGTTAGTATCGATCAAATTTTATTTTATATAATAAAAAATGTATACACTATTTTTTATAAAGAACCACTTTTATGAGAATCGTATACTTTTCATTAAGTGATGTCCTTCCCATGACCACATTCCCTATTTAATACCTATAATCAACACTAAAATTAGCAAACTTTTCAAATCCGCAAAACTAATATTGCTTAAAACTAATTATAATATATAAATTAAAGTATAACATTATGCAAAAATTATAAAAACATAACTATGTTCAAAAATATTTCAAATTGAAAGAAAGTACGTTACGATTAAATGAATAAAATAATTTTTTTTTTGTAAAATAAAAACAAAAATTTTTGTCAGGTGTGGGGTTCGAACCCACGCTCCCGTTTGGGAACCAGAGCTTAAATCTGGCGCCTTAGACCGCTCGGCCAACCTGACCCTTGTTTTCAAAACAAGATTTCAATGGCTTTTAAGGGAATTATAGGCTATGATAAATAATATTTCAAGTATCCTAACATTAATTATTAATGCTAGGCATAATTAAATATAAAATGTTTAATACTTTAAATAATACATATAATTTTGAATCAATTTATTTATCTAATAACTATTACCATATTCGAATGTTTGTTAACAGATTTTATTAATAAAACATGTATTTATATATAATCAAGTATATTTACTAGTAATTATTAGTAATTAAAAGAAAACTTGTTGAATTAATTTTTTAAAGCAGACAAAGATGCTTCGTTTCTGCTCACTACATTGCACAAAAAAATGAACAATTGGCAAATTCAAAGTGTTAATTGATTATCATAATCATTTTTATCATAAAGTGATTGATTCTTGCTTAATAAAATGTTTTCAAAAAGTGTTTTGATATTTATCAATATGTTGAGTATTAGAAAAACGAGCGTTCAAAGAGCAAAGGGGTCGTGTCTTCCCCATAAACCGTAATATTTATGTTCAAAATAAAGTGATGCAAAAATGTAAAAAATATAACAAATTAATTGTTTTTACCTTTGAGAGATTTTTACCAGTTCCATATTTTAAAAATAGTGCCCCTGAGATACTCAAATCTGCCGCCCCGTGAATTTTATATATTATTGATCAAAAACATTTTCTTCTGCATCACTATTTTTTTTTTTTTTTAAAAAGTAAAAAATTAACTTTATAAATTGTAGCTTGTTTATAGCTATTTAATTAGATAGCTGAATAGTGTTATGTAGAAAATATAAAATACAAAAATTAAATATTAAATATTTAAATTAGCAAGTATTAGTTGAAACAGAAGTAACCTCTAACGCTATCCCTTATCATAGTTGATAACTATAGATTTTTATATTCAGATATATATAATAATTTTTTTTCTGAATCTGATACTAGAATCACATTTTTCCAAGATCTATATTTTTATCAATTATTCAGGCAATGATAATGTGGTATTAAGTAATTTAATAACGAGCATTGCATTATTTGGAAATGAGTTCAATATTAAGTATACATAGTATTTTAGTGAGATAGTAATAAAAAAAAATGATTTAATAATACTAATTATCTTCAAAATTATCAGATAACATTGCTTCAAATATTTTTAAAGTCAAAGCAAGTAATTTTATTGTAGTTTTTTTGTTCTGATTCTATTATAACTAATTAAAATTATATATTTTCTTATTCTATATAATAACTTGCATGTGGTAGGCTAGGTTGGACTAGAATCAAACAAATTTAAGTAGGTCGCAAAGTATTTTTATACTTTTTTGTAGCCATTAATTTTCAAATTTTGAAATAATAAACAAATAAAAATGATTTATTTTAATTGAAAGAGCAAAGATTTAAGAGGGTAGTCAAGTCTATCTTTGATAGTATTACTTGTTACTACCCTATTAGTTATTTTACAGTTCTTTTAACTTAAAAGATATTTTAACTTTTTTAAATGGGCATAACAAAAATTTCCCATTATTAGTTGCCTGCATCAAACAAAAATTGTGATTTTAATTATTTTTGTTTAAAACTTATATTAGCAAGAAACCAATTACTCCACAATAGTCTATAGGGAAATTGCAAATTTATGCTGTGTGTTACCAATTAATTGCAAAAATGTATTTAATGATTAATTTTAATTATATGTTGAATAATGGTATTTTAAATTTAAGATCCTAAATACATAGTAAAACTTCATTTATGACTAAACAATCTTTACACAAATTTTATTTAATACATATTTTTGTTGTCTACTATATTTGAGGTAAATTTTGTAAGGAGTATTGAAACTCCTTAAAATAGCCTTGAAGCTAATTTAAATTTAAGTTCAGACATTTTTCATCACATCTAGTTTAGAGATAATTGCTAATTAATCTGTATGCAATAATTATAAAACTAAATATTTTTATTTGTTGTATATTTGGATAGTGTTAAGACTTGTGCAAAATTTAAGGTTTTTTTATAAATTTTTATTTTAATATAGTTTTTGTGAATTAAAACAAAAATTTAACATCCTTATATATTTTTTGATATTAATTTAATGTTATAATTAGATTTAGCTCATAGCACATGGTTACTTAGTTATTCAATTAATTGTAAATAAAGTCTCAAATATTTGGCAAATTTTGGTTAATCAGTTTGGCAATTAAATAAAGCAACTGAATCATAACATAATTTTTCATGTGCATAATCTCAATACTTAATACATTTAATTGGTCGTTGTCTCAAAACTAGATGTGATAAGAAAAATTTAGGCCAAATTTGGAATCGACATTCATCAATATACAGATATTGTAGCCTATAAAATGGCTATTTCATTATACTTTTTCTATGTCATTAGAAATGCAGGTTAATAAATTAACAAATAGAAATTTGTTAATATTTTCATATAATAAATAAATTAATATAACTTTATAATTAAATTAGATATTAATTAAATGTCATTTTTCTAGGTTCATTAAAACATGGAATCTAGGCTAGCAAATGGTTTAAAGTTGTTGTATTTACCAAAAAAAACCAAAATTAATTCTGGTCTTGGAGACAAACTTCCAGAAGCATACAAAAAATTCTATCTTGAATGGCGTCATCGTACTCCTGAACCTGTATATTTTCAACCCAAAACAGGAAAATGGATGAAGGATTCTAAATCTGGACAAGTAGTTCCAGTGCAAAATATTCCAATCCCTTTAAAATATCCTAAAACTATGCATACAGGTATTTGGGGAGGAGAAGCTATTGTTCAAGGATTTAAGCAAAAAGGAAAATATAAAAGTAGAGTTCCGTATTTTTGGGTACCTACACTTAAAAATACTGTAGTCTATAGTGAAGTGTTGAACAAATATATGTCAACTATTGTCACTGAACGTGCTATAGAATTAATAAATAAAAATTATGGACTTGATCATTATCTTTTGAAAACGCCTGCCTGTGATTTAAAAACCACTTTGAGTTTGAAAATAAAAAGAAATATTTTAATGGCATTAAGAGATAAAACTTTATATCCCGATAATATTGTTAAACAACAAGCAATATATGACAAATATAAACATTATTTAAACGATTATTCACATGAAGATATTGAATGGTATGGGCTTACCTTTGATCAGGCGTTGCTTAAATTTCAAGAAAAAGAAGAAATTGCTAATTTAAAAAGAGAACCATTAAAAGCAAAGTTCAGAACCGAATTAATTAAAGAATTAAAAACAAACAAGGATAATTTAGTTGATGAAAATAAGAGTTGGCTAAATAAAATTAATCCATTTAAATAGCTGATAGTATTGTCTAGTAATTTTGTATTGTAAAAATAAAATAAAAGATATTCAATAAAAAAAAAAAGGATTTCAATAATTTGCTCTATAATTTTTAAATAAAAAATATCTGTAAAAAATTTCCCTTAAAAAAATATATCAGGCTATTATATATTATAGAACTTATTTATAATCTAAATAGTTTATGAACAGTCATTTTTTTAGACTCAAATTTTGAACACATTAAAGTAGTGCATTTATTCAATCATAAATTATAAAATTATTCTTCAAAAAAATTAGTGGAATTAATAAAAATATAAATATTTCAAATAATAAGATAAAAAATTAATAATTGGCATTATTATGCTCCACACATAGTACAAGCATCTCTATTTTCTAGGGAACAAATTAATTGCTTCATACTTAAGGCTTCATCTTTATCAGTCTGACTTGCAACATTATTAGAAAGGGTACTTTTATTTACTGTAAATTGAATAGGATCAGCTGCAGGTCTGGTTCTTAAATAATACATACCCGTTTTAAGACCCTAAAAATTATAAAAAAAAATTAAATAACGCTAATATTTAAAATTAAACACAAAATTAATACTTTTTTCCATCCATAAAAGTGAACTGAAGATATTTTGCCTATAGTCGGTTGTTCAATATGAATATTTAATGATTGTGATTGATCAATGTAGGCAGCTCTATCAGCTGCCATATCTAAAATTATTTTTTGAGATAACTCCCAGTTAGTTTTGTAAAGTTCTTTAATTTCAGAAGGAATTCTATCTATTTTCTGTCAAACAATACAAATATTTAGTAATAGGTACAACTATAAAATTGTTAAAAATAAAATTGCAACTTCACATTATGAACCAAATGATATACAAGTAGCCCAGCATTTACTGACAACTTAAATAATAACTTTTGATTTAGTTAATTTTTTTTTAATAATGTAATTAATAACATTTTATAATTAAATAAAAAAAAATTTACAAAAAATATTTTAAAAAAATCAAAATAGCTATTTTTAGAATAGATTTAAAAAATTATTTGGTGAAAAAAATTCTCATTACTGTTTGATAATTTTTTGTAACATTTTAAATTTGAATTTTTCTGTATTTATTCTAAGGTATCAAACGCTGACTATGTTTTATAAAAAAAGGACAGAAGTATAGACAATCTTTCCATACTAAATATGCTATTAGTATGGATTTTTCATGAAAATTATTAACATTCCAATGACCGGCTTTAGTTCAAATAAAAACAGGAACAATACCTATTATTTAAGAAGTAGTGTTATCTCTTTATACATAAAACTACTTATGTTACTTTTCTTCTATCCTTGTTTCAACATGTATTTCAATGTTTAATACCGTAAAATAATACATTAAAATTCAAATTTTCACAAACTTTAAAATGATACAGACTACTTCTTACTGAATTTTAATAAGATATTTTTTTACCGACATTTTTCTTAAAATCTACTCTACAAAATAGCTTTCTTGGATTTTTTTTTATATTTTATTTAAAATTTAAAAATAATTAATATTTTTAATAAAATGTAAAAATATAAATAATATTATTAATGAAATATGATTATAGACCGAACATATAACTGTTAAAAAAAAAAAAATCAGAAAAAAATATTACCTAGATCAATAGTTATTTAAGTTGTCAGTGAATGCTGAACCACTCTGTATATATATATATTTATAAAACTTAATGCAATAATAAATTAAATAAAAAGTGTTTACTTGTACAGATCCTTTATAATATATTAATTCATTTCTCATATCTTCATTCCAAAGATTTAACTCAATTAGATCATTCAATAAATGACGATTAACGACCTACATTTTAAACAATTATAATTTTTTTTTAATAATTATTCATAATCAAATAAATTCATTACTCACACTGAATTCTCCACATAGAGTACGTCTATAGTATAAATTTGTAGTATAAGGTTCAATGGATTCATTATTACCAAGAATTTGAGCAGTAGATGCGGTTGGCATTGGGGCCAACATTAATGAGTTTCTGACTCCGTGTTTGGCAATCTTAGCTTTCAAGACATTCCAATCCCATAAATCTGTAGGTTGAACACCCCACATATCATATTGTAAAATCTAAAATGAAAATGACTTAATTTGCACTGCATAAAAATAATTAACAATTAAATTAATTACTCCTTGGCTTATGGGCGAGCCTGTGTATGATGAATAAGTTCCATCTTTTTCAGCCAACTCACAACTAGCCTCCAGGGCACCATAATATAAAGTTTCAAATATTTGAATATTAAGTTTTCTTGACTCAGGAGATCCAAATGGATAACGCATCAATAAAAATAAATCTGCCAATCCTTGAACACCAATACCAATAGGACGATGTCGTTTATTAGAAACTTCGGCCTATATCAATTAATAAAGTAATTTAGTAGAATAAAATAATTTTAACTGTAAATAAAGATGCCTACACAAAATATACTAGATTTACTTAAATATTTTACTGATCATCTAATAGTATGCTAAATATTGTTATAATAGCATTTATTAATACAAGCAAAGTCTATATTCAGCATGTGTCCCAAACATGAGTGTTTGCAAGAGGACGGAGAAGCATCTAACCCCACTTGACCTTATTGATAGTCAATTTTCATAACTATAGTTTATTAAACAGTTTTACAAAATACATCTTTTTTTTCTTTTATCAAATTTGGTTAAGGTTAAATCAGAGTTAAGGTTTCCCTAAGATTTATGGCATATAAAATTTAAAAATACATCAATTAATGAAAATGTACCTATTTCTTTTTTTAAGATTAATTTTGTATATAATTCTCAAATAATTTTTACATGATCTACCTATATCAAGGAAATCATCACACAAACCATAATAGATCATTAACTACAGGACCGCAATTATAATTTGAAGTAGAGGGCAAGTTTTAATTACTGAACCCAAACTAATCAACTAACTACTAAATGACTTTTCATTCCTGTTAAAGCCTGAGCAAAAATCTTTAGTCCCAAAAGACTGAAAATAACAAAAAATATTTGAACTAAATTAATTATTTTAAAAGGGAATTAACTCTCTAAACCTCTGCACTAAACTTCCATACATTTTGTACATCTCCACCACACTTATAATGTTGAACAAAATAACTAAATACCAAAAAAAATACCCCATTAATAAATTTCTGCAAATCCTTTTGGTTTCCAATAAATTTATCTAAATAATAAAAAAAATATCATTCCTAATGAACAACTATACTCAATTAAGTTTAATAAATTTACTACAATAAGCTACACTATCTTACATAATTCATAACAAAAATGAAAAATAATTACTTCTTTCACAGGATAAAAGTTAACATCAATCACTTTGTTTAAATTTTTAGTAACTGTTTTGGTAATTTTTAATAACTTTTCAAAGTCATATTCTTTATTTGACTTAACAAACATATTCACAGCAATTGATGCGAGATTACAGACAGCTACCTACAACATAAAACCATTTATATTGAAGTTACATTTTGTTTTTAATAGTTTTTAAGGATTGATAAAATTACCTCTTCAGGTGAGGTGTACTGTATTACTTCAGTGCAAAGATTACTACATTTAATTGTACCCAAATTTTTTTGGTTACTTTTAGCATTACAAGCATCTTTATATAATACATAAGGCATACCAGTTTCAATCTGAGAAGTAATAATACGAAACCACAATTCTCTTGCTGAAACCTGTTTGTTGTATAATTTTTCATCTTCATATCTGAAAATAAGAATAAGTAAAAATTACATATTAAATTACTAACAATATATTGTTTCATTAATAAGTGTAGATAGCATTTTCAGAACTAAATTAAGATATTTGCAGCATTAAAAAACCCAGCACAGGGGGGTCGCGGCACAGTGGTGACGTGGCATAGTTGGATCAAGTATAATAATATCTCACAGTGATTAAAATCACTATAAAAAAAAACGCTTAGATGCAAATCTGTAGATAATTTTTAATTTTAAAAAATTGGTGGATTATTCCAAAAGCTACATGATCTGCTAGTTCCTTATTAATATCCTGATTAAGATAAAGTATGTCGAATGAAAAAGGGATTATTAAAAAATAGTATTTCCCATAAAAAAATTATATTGATCAATACACTTTTCAATAAGTTATAGCATTATAAAGTTAAAAATGTAAAAAATAAAATCGAGAATTTTCACACGAAAATAGCATTTGATAGCCATTTTTGCCGTGAAGACATGTCCAGAGGTCAAATTTTTTTTTTTTAAATTAAAGTATATTACATAAGCTTTAATTTAAGATATATATAAAAGTGTCAGACCTTCCGGAACACTTTCAAAAGTTAAGTTGAAAAAGTTCTACTTTCNAGAATACTTTCAAAAGTTAAGTTGAAAAAGTAAATTTTTTGTGAAAAAGTTGTCATTTTAAATCCCCCCCTGTGGGCAGGTAAAGGGTCAGATTTATAAAAAAAATATACCAAATGATAGGTAAAGACATCATGCATCTACAAAAAAAAGAATTATATTGATCCATACATCTTTCAAAAAGTTATAGCATTATAAAGTTAAAAATATAAAAAAGAATTTTTTTACAAAAATCGTATTTTTTTTATTAAGTTTAATGTCTGTTTTCACCATGAAGATAAAATAAAGTCCGAAATTTTTTTTTACCATAATAAAGTATATTACATTAGCTTTAATTTAAGATATATATAAAAGTGTCAGACCTTCCGGAACACTTTCAAAAGTTAAGTTGAAAAAGTTCTACTTTCTATATGCATTTTTCAGATTTGAACACTTCACTTATATAAGGAAATAGTCTGATTTAAAAAAAAAGTATGTCGAATGAAAGATGTATATAAATACTACTACTCATGAAAAAATTGTATTAATCCATACATTTTTGAAAAAGTTATAGCATTTTAAAGTAAAAAATGTAAAATATAAAATCGAGAATTTTCACACAAAAATAGCATTCGGTAGCCATTTTCACCATAAAGACAAGTCCAGAGGTCAAATTTTTTTTTTTCATAATAAAGTACATTACATTAGCTTTAATTTAAGATATATATAAAAGTGTCAGACCTTCCAGAATACTTTCAAAAGTTAAGTTGAAAAAGTAAATTTTTTGTGAAAAAGTTGTCATTTTAAATCCCCCCCTGTGGGCAGGTAAAGGGTTAAATTTACAAAAATAATATACCAAATGATAGGTAGAGACATCAAGCATCTATAAAAAAAAAAATTATGTTGATGTGTTCATTTTTAAAAAAGTTATGGCAGTTTTTAGTAAAAAAAATTGAAAAAATATCGAAAATTAGCGATTTTTAAATTTGTAATTTTTTTGGAGGTTTCCCCCATTTACGGGAAACGAGGGAAATTTTTTGAATTTTTGAGGGTAATGTCTTCGACTAGATATGATTTGTGATCTATTAACGTATCATTGAAAAAAATCTGTTCGGTGAGAGCTGAGAAAAAGTGGTAACAGACATAAAAAAAACCCATCATAGTAAAAACAATACCTTCGCATCGAAGCTAAAAAATAGAAAATCAACAAATAAAATTATGAAATATTGATATTACAAAGTGAAAAATGAAAAATAATTAAATTATTATACTGTTTACATTGTTTTATGAATGTAAATAATTAAATATGTAATGTTGGCATTAACAATAACTGCTACCTATCATTTATATTACAAATAAAATAACTTTTAAAGCATGTTAAATTTACAATATTAAAAATTCTAAGCAAATTAAAATATTTACTTTTTATATAGTTTAACAAAGTCATCTCCCCAAACATCAGCAAGTCCTGGGCATTTACGTGGGCACATTAAACTCCATGTTTCATCTGCTTCCACACGTCTCATAAATTCGTCAGGAATCCATAGTGCCAAAAATAAGTCTCTTGTTTTTTCTTCCTTGTCACCAGTATTTTTACGCAGTTCGGTGAATGTGTAAATATCTGCATGCCAAGGTTCAACATACACTGCTACAGCTCCAGCTCTCTATAATTAAAAAACGTGATACAATTTTTTATCATTATTTCCTTTAAAAAGGTAAAACTTACCCTTCCTCCTTGATCAACATATTGTGCTAAGTCATTTAAACATTTAAGTTGTTCAACAAGTCCTGGAGATTTTTGTTTAGGATATGCTACCCAAGTAGTACCAGCTGCACTAGTATTGTGTACATGTATTCCAATACCACCAGCAGATTTAGAAATTTTTGCACAAGTCTTAATAGTTTTTGCTAAATCATCCAAGGAATCAGATTGGTTTGCCACCAAAAAACAACTGTAATAAAAATAAATGGTTATTTAAACCCTGACTATTTTCTAAGAGTACTTTACTAAAAGAAATGATTAAAACATTTCTGTAATCATTAAAAAAAAAATTTAACTATTACAAAAATAATTATTAAAATTAGTTTTGATATTAAAAAACATAAAATTGAAGTTTAAAATTATACTTCAAAAACTATAATATTTAGCACTTGAGAATATTTATATAATAATTATGTAAGCTATAAGCAAATTATTTAATTTTTACAAAATATTTTACTTCATAAAAATTGAATAAAAAATCAATATACCTTGAAAGTTGAGGTTTAGGTGTAGCTGCATTAAACATAGTTGGAGAAGCATGAGTAAAATATTTTAATGACATTAAGTTATATGTTTCTATAGCTGAATCAATATCTTCACCATGAATACCAATAGAGACACGCATTAATAAATGTTGAGGACGTTCAACAACTTTATCATTTATTTTTAACAAATATGATTTTTCAAGAGTCTAAATATTCAACCAAATTATTAAATTTTCTAAAAACTATTGTAGTTACTATTACCTTAAAACCAAAATAACTATAGCTAGAATCTCTTTCATGATTTATGGCACTATTCAATCTATCAGCATGTTTCATGATAGTATTGTAATGGAAGTCAGAAATTATAGGCATTCGACTTTGATTACGTTCATTAGTCATATTATATAAATCATATATAACATCTGAAACATAAAATGATTACTTACTTATAAAAAACTGACAGCAAACAATGATTTTTTATTTGGATATTGAAACACTTTTATTTAGTCTAGTTATATAATGCAAGGCGGCTAGAGGGAGATATTTATTTCATTTAACACTTCCTCATATCAAGCCTCTGAGAAATGTTAAAAGAAACAAATTTCCTATTTTTAATATTCTAGATTATAAAAAATTAGTAAGTAGTTAGTTTAAAATTGTTTCATAGTTCCATAGTAGTACTTAAATAAGATATAATACAATATAATATAATATAATATGATTGGTATAGTACAATATTATACCAAGATTTTATTTTTTCCATTCAATTTAGTTTTAACTTAACTAAATAATTTAGAAAAAAAGCAAATTTTTTACAGATAGAATTTCACTTATTTTAAAATTATATAAAAATATTAACAACATTAATCATTTTTCAACCCAACCAGCATAAGTAAAACCAAATAATTTAAAATTAAAAAATTAAATAACACTAGTTATATAAAATTTTAAAATAAAAAATTTTAATGTTTGAAAACCAGAACATTACTAGACAGTCATCTAAACAAGTTAAAACATTCATTAATAATTCTATTATTAATCAATTCAAACTTTCAATTTTTTTACCAGTCAATTTCTTTTTTATCAATTCAATAATAGTTATTTAATATGATACTATCTTATATCAGAAATAATAAAACACTTACGACTAAACTTTTCTTTTGTTTCCTTATAAAGGTTAGATATTGCAATCCTTGCAGCAAGTACTGCAAAATCAGGATGTTTTGTTGTCAAATAAGCTGCAGTTTCAGCAGCTAAATTATCTATTTGAACAGTACTTATTCCTGGGCAAAGATCACTAATAACATTTAATGTTATTTCAGCCTAAAAAAATATTTGTAAATTTAAGACTCAACTATTTACAGTATTGACCTGGTTTAAGACGCTAGGACTCAATCTTCTCCTGGGGTCCTAAGAAAAGATATCTCAAGTGCCCTAGAGATCCTAGGCTGACACTGTCTATTTGATATTATACATATTAATAATATAGAAAAAAAATTTGTTTAACCAATTAAAGAAAGAAAACAATCAAGTAAAAAAAGTTTATAACCTATAAAAAATTGAAATTATTCTTTAACTCTGTATTAAGAACCTAAAAATAATAAAATTACTGCAAGATAATATATACAAAGGATTAAACAGATCTAATTGACTACGCCTATAACTTTTTTATGAATAATAATCACTAAACATTTTTTTTAATAATTTTTACTATTTCTATTTTTAGACTATTTTGAAACTATATTTCTTTATTTGTATTTAATATCAAAAAAATTTTTTTTTTTATTAAAACTATTCAAAATTTCAAAATAGTGAGTTTAGGACATTTCAAAATTAATTAATGGTACTATAAAAATTTAAGGGCAAATACTTATTGAGTTACAAGAATTTCAATACAGACTAAGAATGAAGCACAAGTAGAAAATGTATTATAAACATACACCAAAATATGTGCTATACCCAATGGTGCTACACATCAACTTTATATATTAAAATACTTATAACTCAATAATTTTTTACCTAAAAAATCTGTTCTACCTGTATATATAATTATTTACAGATAAAAGATAGCCTTAATGTTTTTTTCATAAGCCTTTGATATAACCATTTGCTCTAGATAAACAACGAAAGTTATATAAACCTATTAACATTAATGAATCTACTAAAATATGAAACTGAATTTTAATTATTATATAAAATTTCACAAATAATATTCATTTCACATACACACAAATATTCAAGATCAGAGAGATTATTAATGAACAATACTACTAAGAGGTTAAAAATGGAAATAATTTTAACCAGAAGTTGGTGACAAATTAGTTATTTAGAATTTACTCGTATTAAAATTAATAATAAATCTAATAACAGGATCAATGAAATCCATATTCAACCCATCACACAGATTTTCTATTCTTGAAGTAATTTTGTCCATCAAGACTTCTTCCATTCGACCATCTACAAAAAAAAAAAATTTTTCTCGAAATTAACAAAAGTTTAGCAGTTTATTACTATTAAAATACATACCGCGCTTTTTAACGAAAAGTTTTGTTTTCGGCTTGCTGATTTCATTTGTCATGTTGTTTAAAAATTTTAAGTGACCAGTAAAATTCAATACACAAGTAAATATAATAATTCAGTAATATAACCACAAAATTATATCAAAAGTGAAAGTTCAGTTTACTGTTAATGTAGAAGTATAAAATTTAATCGTTTGTACTTATTTGGATTATTTTATTTAAAAATAACTAACTGATCGTACCCTCGCCAGTAACGAAAAAAGGTAAGATGAGTAAACTATGGTTCTTAATAAGCTATTGTACATGTACATGTACACAAAGTACATGATAAATTCCCGCCAATTTTACTGATAACATTCAATAATATTATTTGAACCTATAAACGATTTGGTAAATACCACGTTAAAAATTAAATAAACTTTACCACAGAATATGTTACATAGATCTATGATAAAATTAAATATCGTTCATAAATTTAGATGGATTTCCATCAAAAGCTCAATTCTATATTTGTAGAACTGCAAATTAGACATAATCTAAATTACTATAATAATAACCTATAACTTAAAGAATCGACATACTAGGCCATTACATAAAAATTACTCATGTACCAAATTGGTATGCAGAGACTCTCAAGAATGAAGCAATGCGTTTAACTTTTGGCGGGAAATACACTCTTTCAGTGTAAGGTTTTGTTTTGTGTGTATTAGAAATTTAAGTTAGATATCATCTGTTACAACATTATAGTAACATTGTTATATTCCTGGACAAACAAAAACTGTGACAATTGGTACTTCAGCGCTGTTAGGTCGAGTTATTCATATAACCGTGAATTACACTTATCTGTTGCTAATATTATTTCTATCCAATTTTGATTATCTTTAATAGATACATTTTTAAATAAAATAAACACTCATATTCTTTCTCAAAACCATATATGATGTCTGAAATTACGAAACATCTTTACGTTAAGAAACGAGGTAAGACCGGATCCTTGATTTATTTTTAAATTGAATTTAAAGACATTTTATTTTAAAGTACAGATGCTTATATTTATAATGTATAAGGATATATTTAAAATATGTGATGTGATCATATCCTAATATTTTCTCAATTTATCAAATGTATTAAAGTATTGAAAAGAAATGTTAAATATGTATTATAGCTACTGACTTATATAATTATAGGGTGAGGGTTTAATTATTACACTTTTTGTATGATCTACTGAATATTGACATAATATCAAATTAAACTATTTTAAACATTTAAAGTTGCATTTGTATTCTTATTAAAACACATGTGTGTTCATTCTATTTATATATAAGGATAGTTATGTAAATCAACACTCTCCGATAAAAATTAATACATGAAGATATATATTGAAGAAAATTGTAAAAAAATTTCTAATGCTTATCCTATTCGAGTCAAAATCCCAAAAATGCCTTTGATATATTGCACAAAATATTTGCATACAAATAGGAATCAAATAATTATGGTTAATATTCATTATTTTAATCAAACATGAAAACTATGTCTTCATAATTTATTATTTATCTTGTGAAAGATAAGATATAATCCCTTGTAATTATACCAGTGATTAGTATTTTATTTTGAAAAAATATCAATGGAAAATTTTTTATTTATTAGTCATTATAACGCCCATTTTTTTCACTTTAATTTTAAATTTAGTCTGTCAAAATATTTTTCTCAAAATAAAACCTATTTAAATGCTACACTGAGTTATTTGTTTATCTTATATGTAAATGAAAATTACAAATTTATTAAAAAATTGAATTATTGTTTTTTATAACTTTTTGGAGTTATAAATATTATAACATTCAATATGAATGTTCATTTTTAATTACAAATAATTATCACTAATTATAATTGTAAATAATTGTATAGATGGAAGTGTTGAAAGTGTTCACTATGATGCAATTATAGCTCGTATAAAACAATTATGTTATGGTCTAGATTGTGATATTATTGATCCCGTAAGTATATTTATATAATTTATATTCAATATTCTCTTGAGTAAGTAACTAAATGGTTGTGATGGGTAATATGAAAAAATCTATTTAGTTCATAGTTTTGTTCTTTTTAAAAAATAAATATTTAATTTTATCTACATCAAATTAAAAACTATTTTTTTTTTTTGCTTTCATAGCAAATTTTAACTTTGATTCAAAACTGAGAAGGTATTCATTTTACTAAGATGTATTTTATTATTTTAAGTATTTAAATTATTTTCAATTAAAGAAATAAAATGTACTATTATCCTTGTTACATCTCAATTTACTAAGTAATATTTTATATCTATAAAAATAAATTCCCTGTAATATATATACAAAGTGAATCACTATATTTAATTAAAGAATAAAAATTATCAATAATAATAATAAGTGTATCAAAAAAAAAAAAAATGTTTGTGTTCATCCCTTATAACAAATAAGGGTGTCAACATTAATTTTTTGTATGACAGCACACATAATTAAATAGCTTATTTATTAGATAACCTAATTAAGAAAATCTATTATTAATAACGATTTTTGGACCAGTATTTCGAAAGTTAGAGGAAGATTACGGCATGAAATTGTCTAGTTATGAAAATAGCATCACCCACTCTTCACTTCTAGTCTTTACTTTACATTGTTAATAACTTTCAAAATACTGGCCCAAAAGTCGTTATTAATAATACATTTTCTTAATTAGATATCTAATAAATAACCTAGTTAATTATGTGTATTGTCCTTTAAATTGTCAATTTAAAAATGTTTTATGTAATACATCGAACAAAACATTAAACTAAAAGAAACCAATAAAAATATTATTTTTTGATTAATAATAGTGGTTTATAGTAAAATTTCTTACAGTATAAAATATATAAAAAATAAAATATATTTTATATAATTTAATATGAAAATTATTAGAACTAAATAAAATTATCTTCTTAAAGCAGTTCCTTTGTTTTATAAATATGAATCATTTTTAATAAAAATTAGCCTTGTGCAAAAAAAAATTAATGACGTCTTCTTTTTTCTTAAAAATCTTACCTATTAAATATTTTAGATGCTTTGTTAGCACTTAGAATAATTAAACAAATATTTAGGCTGCAATGGCAATTCATGTTGTGAAAAAATGTCTTTATCCTGGAGTTACAACTTCTCAACTTGATGATGCAGCTGCTGAAATGGCTATAACAATGACAACAATTCATCCAGATTATGAAAAATTAGCAGCCCGTCTTGCCATTTCTAATTTGCATAAACAATCTAAAGAAAAATTTAGTGGTAATATTTATAAATCAGTTATATTATATTTTTGTTTTATGTATATTTATAAATAATTTAGATGTTATGACTGATATTTATCAAAATGATGAGTACTGGAGTATTGGATTGTCAGATGATGTTTATGAAATAATAATGAAAAACAAAGAATGTTTAGATAAAGCCATAAATTATGAATATGATTATAATTTAGATTATTTTGGATTTAAAGTAATTAAATAGTTTTCTTATAAGATTTTAATATATTTTTTAATTTTTATTTTTGTTAAATAGAATTTAATGAAATTTTTTTTGGCTAAATATAACAACCAAACTATTGAACGACCTCAACATCTTTTTATGAAAATAGCTGTGGCTATACATGGGAATGATATTGATTCTGCTTTAGAAACTTACCGTATGTTAGCACAAAAATTGTTTGTGTTTTCTCCTGTAGTTATACAGTTACAAGCAGCTGCAAAAAAATTCAACATGCCTGTTGTAAGGTAAAGTCTTACATTTTTATTTACTTAAATATTTGTATGAATACTAATAAAAAGTTTATTCTAGCCATTACTCAGTGGCTATGATTGAAGATAGTATAGATGGTATATATGACACTCTTAACCGATTTTCTAAGTTTATATTACCATATTCAACCACTGCTGTTCATGTACACAAAATTCGAGCGGCTGGAACCTATATAAGGGGTAGCAATGGCAAGTCCAGTGGGTTACCGCTTATGTTAAAACAGTATGATACTGTTGTTCATAAATGTGAAACACCTGAAAGACCTAAAAGTATGAAGGGGTTAGCAGTTTATTGTGAACTGTGGCATTCTGACATAATGAAAGTTTTGGATCAAATAAGAAAAACTGCAATTGCTGACTTGAAATTAAAGGATAGTTATGTTGCTTTATGGATTCCTGATGAGTTTATGAGACGAGTAGAAAATAATCAAATATGGAGTTTTATGAGTCCTGATCATTGTCCTGGTCTTGTGAATGTATATGGAAAAGAATTCGAAAAACTATATAAAGAGTAATAAACCATTAAGAAGTTTAATACTTAATACAATAGTTCTCTTCTCTTTTTTGCCTATTTTAAGAAAAAAAAATTCTAATATAAATTGTTATAACCAAAACAATGTCTCTTTTTAAAGGATTGAATTTTTTGTAAAAAAAAAAAAAAAAAACTAAGCTCAAATAATTAACTAATTTTATATAGCTTATATATAACACAATAAGATTAAATTCAGTATTTTAATTAGTGAGATTAATATTTGCTTTAAAAAAAAATAATATTTTATACAACATTCAATATTAAAACTATATTCATAAAATTAATTGAAAAGAAGTTTTTTGACCTAATTTAAATATTAATTTTCATATAAATAAGAAAATAGTTCTTAATTTTGTCCTTTTTTTTTTTTAATTCGTTTAGCATTTTTAGTTAAAAATATTGAAATTTTCATTGTAAGTATAATGTTAATTAATTTTAGTACTTTTATATACATAATTATTTTATAAAATTATTATGTATATATTTTATTTTAAAACATTTCCTCATCTTTGTCAAAAAAATTCCTATTTTGAAGTTGTGATATTAATTTTATAGGGTGATATGATTAATATATTGTTCTAATTTTTTTATATTCAATTTATATGAATTTCAAATTGTGGTTGTTTACATAGTACATAAGTAAAAACAAAGCACTATTATCTAATTAAAAAAAAAATATATTAGTTTTGAATACTTAAGAATAAATAAAAAAATATTAAAATTTTATTCTTGCTAGGTATGAAAACAAAGGTAGTAGTTATGTTTTAAAACAAATTGAAGCTAAAAAACTTTGGTCTATTATCATCCAATTACAAATTGAAACCAGTCTACCATTAATTGTTTACAAAGATGCTTGTAATATGAAAAGCAATGAAAATCATTTAGGCACAATTCAATGCGCTGGACGTAATGGTGATACTGTACAATATACTGCACCTCAAGAAGTAATCCTTTTTTTTTAAATAACTACACCGTTTTCACATCACAAATTTTTAACAATTTTATAATCTTTCAATGAATATTAAATGTTGTATATCTATACATAATTTATATATATATTTATTTTATTAACACTTAATATGAAATATTAAAAAAAAATTAATTAAATAAATCTAATCAATTAATTTTCATGTTTTAGGTTGCAACATGCACAAATGCATCAATTGCTGTAGATATGTTTTTAACTCCAGAGAATTCTTATGATTTTTTTAAGCTTAAAGAAGTTGCAAGAAAAGTTACATTTGACTTAAACAAAATAATTAATAAAAATGAAAGCACAATCAATGAGGTACAAAATTTTAAATAAGTTTATATTAACAGGAAGCATATATTTAATATTTCTTTAAAATATATTATAGGAAAAAAAACTACTATTAGGAATTAAAGAAAACCAACTATCAATTGGTATTGGTATCTATGGCCTAGCAGATTTATTCATTAAATTAAGATATCCATTTGATCATCCAGAAGCACTCGATCTTAATAAAAAAATACATGAAACCATATACTACGGTTCTTTAGAAGCCAGTTGTGAGCTAGCTGCTGTGAATGGTCCATATAAAACATTTTCCAATAGTCCTGCGAGTAAAGGGGTAAGATGGTTAGTACAATTTTAAATATATTTATGTACATTTTTTTTTAATGTATAGCTATTGCAATTTGATCTGTGGGGTGTTAAACCAACTAATTTATGGGACTGGGACATCCTCAAAAAAAGTATTAGCAAAAATGGACTGAGAAATTCCCTTGTTACCATCTCCTCTCCAACTGATATTGAATCACAAATATTTGGGAAGATGAATTCTGTTGAGCCATTAGATACTAATGTAAAGTGTAAATACATTTCTTTTGGAGAAAATAAACCAAAAGAATACCAGGTATACAAATTATTTTCAGTACTTATTTATCTAACCTATTTTCAGTTATTAAAATATAAACATGTATTACTGAAGTGTAATTCATTAAGCTGTAAGATTTTAAACATTTTATGGCACACAATATCATTTTTCTTTCAGGTTGTTAATCAATACTTATTAAAAGATTTATTTGATTGTAACCTCTGGGATGAAAATATCATATCTCAATTAATTAACGATATGGGTTCTGTTCAGGTATTGTAATAAATCTATGCCTATTTTTAAATTTAAGTTATTAATTAAACTGTTTTTATAGAATATAAAAGGTATTCCCGAAGATTTAAAAAATATTTACAAGACAAAATGGGAAATTGATCAAAATGTGTTAATAAAGATGGCAGTTGACCGTGCTCCTTTTATTGATCAGTCTCAAGCTCTTGTTCTCTACATGATGAATGCTAATGAAGAAAATGTTTCTAAAATTCATATGTCAACATGGAAATTAGTAAGCTCATGAAAATGTGAATACTTATATATTACTTTCATTATTTAAATTTTTATATTTATAGGGATTAAAGACAGGTTTATGTCAGTTAAGAGTAAAGCAAACTGAAGAAGATATTAATGAATAAAATCATTTTAACTATATTGTATACTTTTTATTGTATTATTGTTTATTTTAAAATTTATATAACTATTTTATTAGTAAGCACTTGAAATATTTATTTATTCTGTAAAGATTTTTGATATGTAACTAAATAAAATTTTAAATTTTAAGTAGTTGTAACTTTGAAATTATTCTTTTTTTAAATTAATAACTTGAGATATTTATCACGCCATTTTATTGTTTGATTTGTTTATTTTTGCAAAAACTATAACTTTCGAACTGTTCAGTTAAAGAAAAATAGGTTTATGGAATTCACGAGCCAAAAAAATATTAACTTATATATAGTCTATCGCTCGTTAATTACCTACCAATAGTATTGGATACAAAATATGTAGGATCAATTTATAATTTGAGGAAATGGAAGATTTTAGAGAAATGAAAGGAATAAGGAAAGTGGACTATATAAGATTTTTAACAATGATTAAAAATATAACGCACGTGTCATTTTAAATATATAAGGACTTAATATGATAAATGACATAGTTGTTATAGTCAGTGCTCGAATTGGGGGGGTGCGCAGGGGGACGTAGCTCCTCTACTTTTTTTTAAATTTTTTTGCGCACCCCAACTACTTTTTTTTATTGTGACGGGAGGACGGTGGAAAATACCACCTCTTTTTTTTTTTTTTAATATTAGTATGATAATGAAATATGATTTATTAATAAATACTAAATAAAGTAATGAGTAAAAAAAAAAAANTCAGTGCGATACGTAGTGTTTTATGTTTTATAGTATAGCGTTGTTATCTTAAAATATAATTATAATTAATAAACAAATACTATTATTAATAAAATAAAAAACACGTATATTATACAGTCCATTCAAACCCAGAACAATTAGTATGATAATGAAATATGATTTATTAATAAATACTAAATAAACTAATGAGTAAAAAAAAAAAGGTCTTCAAAATACTAGGGACGCAGTTTTCAAATTGTTAAGTTGAGCTCCCCTACTTATTTTTGTCCAATTCGAGCACTGGTTATAGTTAAAAAATGTGGACTTAACAGGGGTCTCATCTATGCATCGAAGCTATTTGTTTTCTGCTGTGTTTTTTTTTTTTATATCCATATATGTGATTACTTTCGCTCTTACTATACCAATTCTCCTCAAAAATAAGTACAAAGATCATAAAATGTATCTACTTGAAGCCATAATTTTGAAAAATTCAAGTCTCAGTTGATGTTATCAAGTAAATTTCAAAATAGGTTCTTTTAAAAAAGATAAAATTATATTTTGTAGTTAATATGGGATACAGGATTTCCTCAAAATCGTGGTCAGAAACCGTTCCCTCCAGAGAAGACATGAAAGGTCAATCGTGGGATTTCCACAACTTTAATCATCTGCGGACTATAAAAGACACGAAGCTATATTTACAAATAAGTCTAGTGTTTCGGTATGACCTAGTAGTCTAGTTTTTACAAATCACAATTTCATCATAAATTTCTATACATATTTAAATGATTATTAAAATAATATTTGTAATTACTTATTTGATAATTTTGTGTTATGTTCATTTGAAATATTATTTATTTGTAATAAGTCAACTGAGTGTTCTTATTTATTTCAACTACCTGCCCTTACGACTTCAACCAGAAGCATTATTGCCAAAGGTTCTTAGGATTGAGCCCAAAAACAAATAAAAATTTAATTACTGGCGGATTAAATACTTGTGTCTGCAACACAGTAATAAAGAGTAATTAGGCAATAACTCAAAAATTCCAACTTTGAGATTATAAGGTATTTGGATTTAGGTTTCTCTCTCATAATAACTTTCATCAAAATATTGAATCGGAATTAAATAACTTAGAAAATTAAAAAAAATATATAGCGTAATCAAAAAATAAATTTTATTTTTTATCTTCTGAAAGTAATAAAAAGTGAGTTACTGCCTTATTCGTTGCGCTTATCGAAATATTCCTTACCCATTGAACTGAATTCAAATTCTGCTATGTATATTTTTGACACTAATAATTAAACAGTTAAATATTAATAATAAAAGTAAATAATTAAAAAAAAATTATGTAATAATTATTGTTTTTGGTGGTAATGCAACATATCTGATTACAACAATGCACATAAGTTACATTTCTGTAACCAAATATGTTTGGAAAAAGTATTTTTAAATTAGTTTTTCGGTTTACTCATAATCAAAATATTATTTCATATCAAATGACTATTAAACAACAATTTTTAGAAATACTATATTATTGCTGACAGTGATTATTATAAACAATTTTATATAACTTCTTGAAATATACTGTAATATTATATACTACGTAAAATTTGTAACCCTAACTCATTCATTTTATTAAAAATTCACATCAGTACAGTTTTGTGCGTACTTAATGAACAACGCACATTAAAAATGAATTTAATTATGGTTAATATTAGGATTGAAATCCCAGATAACTTACCCGTCATCGAGAGGCTATTCCTTTACCAAATATGTATTAGATAAGTTAATGTGTCAGATACATAAAAAAAATTGTATCAAACAAAAACAATTTCTGCTAAGTAACACAACCCGATGGTCTATTAATAGCAATAATATTAGTTAACTATACACCATTAAACAGTGTAAATCACTCAAATTTTGAGCGATAAATTCAATCAACAGTTCACAGTTTACAGTTTACAGTAGATGAAACAAATATTTTAAAAGCGGTAACAAACTCATTGAATATTTTTAATTCGTTGGACAGATATATGAGAAAATTATTACTGAAGTCAATCGAGCTAAGTAGTAAAAGCGATAAATTCATATAAAAGATTGGTTCATAAGCAAACTGGCAACGTGGTGTCATAGCATTAAGAATGTTTTTAAGCTCTGCTCCTTTCCATTTTACAGACTAATGAAAGCAACATTGTCAGTTTGCTTATAAACATTTTTATAATTTGGGACAGAGAAAAAATAACTGAGTAACTATTGGTTAAAATAAAAGCCCTTTATCTTACCATTTGACAGCCAAGTTGCATTCTGTCGTGCAATACGTTCACTGTACTATACATTAAGGACACTTAAATTTGGTACGTACGATTATTTGAGCTTGTCCCTCTACTACGCTGTACTTAAAAATAATAAATGAATTTTCCAAAAATACATTGTTTAGTTTTTAATTTATTTCCCTATAATTGCTCTCTTGTAGTATATGAATATTATTATAATTAAACGTTTCTCGCCCGCGCATTTTACTCGCCTGTATTAAAACATTAATAATTTACGAAGTACTGGTCCAAAAATTATTTATTAAATTAAAGTTTTACATTTTTATCTTGTAAGTTAGTTAATATGTATGTTGTCATTAAAAAAAATGAACCTGGTATCTTTATAAGGGATATAAAACAAATCTTAAATGTATTTAACCACTTAAAAATTGAGAAATCAATAGCACTCAACAAAGCCAAAAAAAAATATTTACAAGATTATTATTACTATAGGTGAATTTAGTGGTCGACGATAAATTAATCACTAAAAATCTAATTAAATAACATATTATATAAATATTTTTAGTAATATTTTCACGCAAATTTTATGTAACAGTTTTATACATTTATTAAGTTTAAACTTTTGTAAACAATTGTTTATATTTTTAAATTTGATAATTAAAAGTTATTACAGTGAATAACTGAGTATAATATTATTAATTAAATTGTATATATTATCTCAAATAAAATATAAAACGAAAATTTAAAACTTCTATAAACATAACAAACATTTCTGCTTGAAATAGGAGAAAAACGAATAATTATAATGTAGTAAAAGTTGTGCTTAAATAATTTATACCAAATATATACTTAGTCGACATAATAAATAACAAAAATTGTGTTTATTCACAATACTAATGGGCAATAAATAACAAATAGAAAAATATATCACCCGGACGGTCTATTAATAGCAAACATTTTAGTATATTCAAGCAACAAATTCAAATAAATAGTAAGTTAATAATCAAACTGGCAACATGTGATATTCATAAGCCTTAAGAATGACTTCAACACTCTATCCCTTTTAATTATACAGACTTATGAAAGCAACGTTGCCAATTTGCTTATGGTGTTGTTTAGATTTGCTCGGACGACCGACAGCGTCGTCCGAGCAAATATTCTGAAACGTTTATTATAAGCGAGGCGCCTAATTGTGTACCTGCGGGTACGGTTCCGCTCTGATCTTATATAATGGTTTTGGATGACCAGCAACGTCGTCTATACGGTAAAATATTATTTTATTACTAAATTAGGTAATTTATTTTTATAATTAACTGTGGTACGCTCGTTGTTATCGATTGCTATAATAGTATAATGATTATACTATCATCGCTATTATTAATATTTTAATTTCCATTTTCTACTGTGACCTTTAAAATAAAAATAAGTGTATGGTGTTTTATTTTATTATATTTAATTTGACAATTTTTTATACCTATGACAAGCGGTATTATATTTAAAGTCGCATCTCACCTCCACTGTATTTCACACAATTTTTATATAACAGTCTTATAAATTTATTTAGTTCACAATTTTTTAACAATTATTAATATTTTAAAATTTTAATTTATAAGTTAAACAATATTTATTGGAGTGTGTAACCGATTAAATATTACATTATATATGCCCCTTTCATCCGACATACTTTTTTTTTAAATCAGCCAATTTCCCCTTATATAGGGGGCGTTTAAAACTTGAAATATACGTATAAAAAGCAGACCTTTTAAAAATGTTCCGGAAATACTGCGTCCTTTAAACATATGATAAATTAAAGCTGACATTATGTACTATAAGTAAAAAAAAAATTTGTCCCGGCGACCTATTTTCTATGTGCAAATGGCAGTCGAAGTAGAACAAAAAATAGGAGTTAATTTTGCTTTAGGAATATTCCACCAATTTCTTAAAATTTAACACTATCGACAGATTTGCATTGATGCGTTTCTTATGATAGTGATTTTAATCATTGTTAAATATCATCTATACTTGTCCCAACTATACCACGACCCCACTATGATACCGTTTTTAATATTATGATATTAAACATTACTACATGTTAGAACTTGTTATAAATAATTCATATAATATTAAAAATTAAGGAATATTTCTTATATTTTATTAAGAAAATAAATAATATTTTTAGTATTCATTGAAAAGCTAATAACAAAGGCACATACTGACACACAAGCATTGAGTATATTAACAAAAAAAACAAACTAACATATGTGTAAATTTCTTCTTCTTTTTCTTCTTCCTCGCCTTAATCCTAACTACTTGGGGTCGGCCACCCTTATCCTAAATTTCCATTTGACACGATCTCCCATATCCTTTACGCTACATCAGATGTTTTCATATCGCATTCAATAACATCTCTCCATCTCTTTTTTTGGTCTTCCTCTACCTCTTCTTCCTTCAACATTAATTTCTACAACTGTTCTTACGGCTTCCGATCCTTCTCTTCTCATAACATGACCAAACCATCTAAGTCTATTTTCTTCATCTTATCCACGATTGACGCTACACCTTGTTGGAGATGAAATGGTGGAGTGACGTGTGTGGCACACAATAAGTTTTAACATTTTTTTGTTAATGACCGTAGGTGTCGTCGAGCGGTTTATTTAAATGACGTGTTAACAAAATAATGACAACAAAAAAAAGAAGTTCGTGACAGAACGATGTTTAATAGAAAAACATAAGCAAAAAAAAAAAAGCTAAGACAAAATATATTAACTTCTATACTGCAAGAAAAAGTTAGTTGTTCGTAAAACGGACGACGAAATTCATAAATTGGTGTCTCGAGGGTGACTGTCTATTCGACGTATTATTGCGGCGGATATTCGACGCTAGGCATTTATTGGACTTTACACCACGACGATAACACGTATGTGTAACGGTCCGGTTTACAGTGGAGCGGTGGCTGAGATGGAGCTGATAAGACCGCGGGGTGTCAAACGTGTGACAACGCCGTGCCCGTGTCAACCTATACTCCCTCTTATACAATGGCGTACACAGAAATTAAATTAGAGGTTTTTTTTGAAATTTAAAGAAAATTAGATGTGACACTGCCCATATTATTCGCTCACAAAAATTCCTGTTTTCGATTACTTTATTGTGGAAATATTTATAGTATGATATGATCTTTTTTATTGTTATTACTTATTATTTATCGTCCAAAATTATCGCTTGGCTTATAAATATTGCGAGGGGGGGTTCATACCCCCCATAATCCCCCCATTGTGTACGCCAGTGCTCTTATATGCTCATTTCTTATCTTATCTTCTCTAGTCATTCCATTCATCCATCTAAGCATTCTCATCTCTGCAACACTCATTCTCTGCTCTACTTTCTTATCAACCACCCAACACTCTGAACCATACATCATAGCTGGTCTCACTATAGTCTTGTAGAATTTACCTTTCAGCATATGTGTAAATTTAAAATATAATAATTTTTAACATTGGACATGAACTAATGTAATAGAACTTAATTATAAGAAATACTTTCTTAATTAATTACGGCTTAAAAAAATAAAAATTTTTTTTTTAAGTGTTTAAGTAAAATATCAAGTGAGAAAATGGATTCATTAGTGTTGTTAATTAACTACGTTTATTTGTATATGACGCTAAACGCTTAATTCAATGCCTGTAAAAATACGTACATTACACTTTATGTTATCGTGCGCAAAACATATTTCAGGTGGTCGGACGGTTGTTGTCAAGCGAAAGCAACGCGAATACGTCGCAGCGGACGGGCGGCAATAGAATATACGTAGGAAGTTATTAAACAGTTTAACTGCGACCTGGAATTATTTGGATGATTTCGTCAGTAGTGGACGATCCGTGTTTAGGCCATCCGGAAATGTCCCAAAATACTATGGTTGTCCTAAAACAGTCAATATTGATATTTTTAATTTTCACTTCATATCAAAACAATATTTTGAAAATTGGATATATTATTGTCAAATTTTTATTAATAATTTTAAATATTTGTCTTGCTGGCGATATACTTTTTTTTGAAAAATTAAACATTAATTAAAGTAATATGGGGATTTAAAAATCTTATCTAAGTTTTTTGTTTTCAATTTTTATTATGTCTTAGAGAACCTATAATAAAGTAAGGCTAATATAACGTACATTAAGATAAAAAAAAGTTATTAAAAAATTTCAATTTCTAATAGTTATTGGACATTCATTAATACCAAAAATTATATAATTTTCAGAAAAATGGCCAATTATATAATTATTTGTATTGTAACGGAATGCTTATTTCATTCTAAATTGTTTAAAATTAAAGCTTATTTAATATTATATATGATTAAAAATAATTTCGTTGAGTTGTCCTCTATAAGTAACTCCATGAAAAACCATGCAATTTTTGATAGATATATTGTATTAATTTTTTTATACTAGAAAATATGCATTGAAGCGTTTTATTACAGTAATTTTAATCACTATCATAAATTGATCAATAATAATCTAAAAAATGCTTCAAATCCATTTTACTGAATCTCTACCATATTTTATTTTTAGTTTCATTTGCTAGATAATAATGCACGCCAATTAGTCAAATAATTGTGACCTAAATTAATCATATTTTCTTGTTATCAAATCCTTATTATTTTAACAGTTTTTGTAATCATTCTTAGTAACAGTTTTTGAACGACTCATAAACAAAAAATTATGATAAAATAAATGATTACCCGAATATCTGATAATAAATTACAAAAATATTTTACAATTATAAACAATTACATATTGTTAATAAGCATTATTAATCACATAGTTTATAAATTATTGTTCTTTATAAAGAAAACAAAGTCTTGATCAATAAATTATTATTTTTTAACTAGATTTATATTGTTGGCAAAAAATTATTATTGAAAATGCAATTTTAATTAAAATTAAAATTATCTTAGTAAAAAACAAACATATTGGAATGATTTAATGCTTGTGATTTTTTGATTAATAATCAAGATAATTATTAAATTATTAATTTAAAATGAAGTTTAAAAAAGTGTCATTGCCATTCGATGAAAACTTTATCAGGTAGAGTTAAAAGTTTTTTCAAAATAAGAATTTATTTCTATTTTTCTAATATATTTATCATGAATTTTTATTTAAAAATAACTATTTAAGTAGTGCCAATGTATGGACCTGACGACTGGCTATGGTCTTACAAATTTAATTGTTGATAATTTTAACAAAAAACTTTTTTTTGTGGGGATCACAAAACTCATTAATAACACTATATCCGATATTGAATTAACCAGAGAATTTAACCCTGAAACGCTAGCGATGTGTCAATTTGACTTCTTTGATAGTTATTATTGTTCATGGTGTGAGCATAGGGTGATTTGCTATAAAGACGAGCTATGATAATTTTTAAAAGAGTCTTTATTCAAATCATGTAAAAAAGGTACAGAGGTGCAGGAGGAAAGGGAAAGAAGGGGAATCGATCTGTGCGCGTACAATGCGTCAGTCTGACGTACGTTAGTGTTCCAGGATTAAACTAATATTCTGAATTTGACATCACAATAAATAAGGCACTAATTCCAAAAATTTAACTGTGAGGTATTTAAATACAGGTTCTACTTTTCTTATAACTGTTTTCATTAAAGTAATGAATATTTTATTTGAATCATAATAAAAGTACTGAGAAAAATTGTGTAAATATTGTGTTTGATGCAAGTATATATTTTATTTTAGATCTCCTGAAAAGTCATAAAACTGAGTTACTCTCTTGTTTTTTAAGCATATTAATATTATGTATGCTATTGATTAAATCATTTGAATAGATTAAAACCCATTAAATTTAAACATCTGAAAACTCCAACAAATATTGTTTAGTCGCTAAGTTTCTATTTCAACATAGAATGTGTTGTAGTATAAAATTAAAATCAAATTATGTTTTATTAAAACAACAATTCTTTTATCATATTAGATTAATATAAGATATAATTGATTTATTTTATTTTAGTTCACTTGAAGATCCTAACAAAACGTTTGTGATAGTATCAATATTTGGAAAATCATCATTGATTGCTAAATCTTGTAAAGCTCAGTTTGTGAACAATATTTATGACCGTTCTATTTTTAATTCATCTATGGTTAAAAATTCCTCTAAAGATACATCAAATCAGGTGAAACTTATGCTAATTAAAATTATTAAGTGTTAACTATTTTAATGATAAATTAGTTTTACTATTATTTAATCAGCATTCATTTTAGATGTAATGGAATATATTAACAATATTAATATTATAATGTTAAGTTTCGAAAAATAACTATTTTATGAAACATTTGAGTAAAAATATTTTACAATCTATAGATATAAATTTATGTATTTTAAAATAATAGAGTAAATCAAATTTAATAATAAAAACAATGAATGATTCCAGAATATAAATATTTTTTTCTAATATTATACTAAATTTTTATCAGTTTAAAATCTTAGTTCTTTAATCCTTACATATTAAAGTTAGTCCACTTATTTTATGGATGCCCTAAAATATTATTTAAAATAAATTATTTTCAATAAACATAATTATGAAACTTAATTTAATTTGTTTAGACAAAAATTGAATGTTTTTATGACGAATGTGGTAAAGTTATTTATCTTCATTTAATTGATATTTTTGATACTCATACACTAGTTCAAAATATTGATGAATTATCATCTGAAATAGAAGAAAAAGTAAAATGAATATCATTGATATTTTTTAAATCTTTATTATAACTTTATTGAAATTTTTAGGGATTTTTAAGAGTTTGGTCTTCACTTAAATTCAATTACGCATGTTCATTACTATTTTTATTTAGTATATCTCATATTCTTGTACTCACACATCCAGTCCCTATATTTGATGCTAGCTACTTAAGTTATTTTAAAGCTCTTGATTGTTCTAGGTAAGATTTATACGTTAATATTATAAATATAATCTTTTTAAAAAAGTATTAAATTTCTTTTGACAAAAAATTAAATTATTTATAGTTATTCAAATATTTAATAGGTCTAAGTTCCTCAATGTTTTAAAGTCTGTTTTATTAAAAATTCCAAATGTACCATCAACTTGGATTGAAAACACCAGACTATGTTCACCTCGATTACTTTTCTATTATGAAACTTGTCCATCAGAGTTTAAAAATCATAAGTATGTACACAAATTTTTATTTATGTATAAATTGCTTTAAAAAAAATTTATAAGCTATAACTTAAAGAAATTAACAAAAATTATGTTATATTTTACAATTTATAAAATATTTTATTAATTTTTCTATATTTTGTGTATTTGTTTAAATTGTGAACATTTTAATTTATATATATATTAACAGTAAAAATGTAGAACCATGTCATTCTGGTTTAAAAAAAGCTGAACATTCCTTAGAAGATCAGATTTATGGTATTTTACGGAAACGAAGAATTATATCTAATATAAGGTAACTATTGTATTATTTTTGAAACATTTAAATTCAAACTTCTTAATTATTACAGAGGGTAATCAAAATCTGGGCATCAACTGGCAATACAGAAAGCACATTTATTTATAGTCATAATTAACAATAAACACTTTATGACTGTGATAGTAGCGTGTATATCTAATAAACGAAAAATTTTATATTAAAAATTCAAATGCCATTTACTATTAAATTAAAAAATCTAACATTTTATTAAATTTGAAATATGTGTTCCTATTTAATAAAAATAAAGTTGATACCCTTACAAAGTATAATAAATGAACTTAAAATGTATTATATATTTAATAATTAAGAATAATTTGTTACTAAAAAAAAAAAAAAATTTAATTATTTTAATTTTGTAAGTAATTAAGGGGGTTATGATAAAAAAAATCACTCTATATATTTAAAACTTGATCCGTTTTAAAGATTCTTCCAATATTTTTGTTTAGTGGAAATTAAATTTTATTGACAATTTATGACTTTTTTTATCTAGGTAAAACTGAGATTCAATTAAGTTCAAAAAATAAATTTAATTATAGTATTTATAAAAACCTAATTATCAAATGGTAAAACAAAGCTTAAATTTACTTAAAATTAATTTATACAAAATAGAAACTTTTTATTGATATTTTAATTAAAGTTATAAATAGCTTCCATAGTTCAGAAGTTAAAGTTGTATTGTTTTGTAAATATATATATAATATTTATTCTAGTACTAATTCTATGTTTGCTATTCCTGCTAATCAAGAATATGTCTTCATGGACGATTCATCTGAAAATATTTTAGACTGGAATGAATTTTTTACCAATTCACTTATAACTATGTGTAATAGTACTTCTGTAGGTATGTGAATTTAATGAAAAATATATTAATATTTCATTAAAAATATTTTTTTTATAAATGTTTTCAGTAATTCAAGATAAATTTCAAGATATCACAATTAAAGAAATTTTGGAGCCCAATTTTTTTATCAAACGTTTGTAGTACTTTTAATTTGATTTTACACATTCATTTTTTAATCTTTTTTATTAATTTTTTTTTCATTAGCTCATAATTTTAAAAAATTCATATTTGATCATATTGATGTTGCGTTTAAAAAAGGATTTGATGACAATATTGGTAGACATGCCTCATTAGTACAAAACTATTTTGAGGTAAATTTTTACATTGATTTAATTTTAACAATGACAATCTATGAAGTATTAATTTTACTATAATGTAGTTATTTATAAGGTTAACTAAATAAATTATTAGCCTTGTTTTTTGAAGTTTTCATTGTGGTATCTATCACTTATGGTAATATCAATTTATTTCAGATTAACTTTTTATTTTTATGTTATTGATTATAGGATAACAATGAATAACTTAGAATATGAGGTTTAATTTATTTTCTTAATTTAATTTTGTATTATTAAAAAACGATTATTTTAAAATAATAATATTTGGCTATTCCAGATTCCTGCTATTGGTACTTGGTGTAAAGTTGCAAATGAGATGTATAAACTCTTTGTCTTACGTCAAGATCTTGATGATGATGCTAAAATTGCATTTGAATCAATAAGATCATTATTAGATATTGATACTAATTTTAGTGAACGCCGTTGCCAAAAAGTTCAACCAATTGCCATGGCTGCATACCAAGATAATTTACCATCACATTATACAAGAAATTATCATGAAAATAAGGTGTAATTTTGAAATTCATTTTCTGCATTTTAGTGGTATTATATAATATATAATAATATGAGAATATTATTTTCTTTATTTTTAAATATATCATATTTAAAAGTCAACTGCCATACCTAAAAATAAAATTGATTTTCTAAATTATTTAAATTTTCTATCCTAAATTATTATTTTTTCATTTACAAAGTATGACAATGTCATACTTAAATATGTCCATTCGGTCAAGTTCATATATTATATATTGATCTTAAGCAATTTTTATGTTTAATTTTTTATTAGGAAATATTTAGTTTATTACTGTGTGAGTTTACTTCTACAACTACAAATAATTATGTTTATATATATGACATTTTCAATGTGTTTAAAATATTATTAATCAGCAGTTTGACATAGAAACTCAATTCATTAATTTTTTATTCAATTTACCACCATTTAAAATATATAACTTTAATTTTAGCTAGCAGAAAAGATGGAGATTTTCTTTATAAAAAAAACATAATATTGTTATACATTAAATGACCATAACCATATTATATATATATATAACTAATGACTATAACTAAAAAAAACTAATAAGTTTGGCATCATACATTTTTTAAACTACATATTTTATTTAATATATACGAGGGACGTCCAGAAAGTAAAGATACAAGCCTCCCTACGGCCACAGTGAATTTTTTTTCACGATGGGTGAGTCATCGCGCGCTACCGCCACCTCTATTACTGAATATTCAAAGTGTGAAGTGAGAAGTGTGATCCGTTTTCTCGCTCAAGAAGGAATCATTCCCACTGAAATTCATCGTCGACTTGTCAAAGCATATGGACCAGATGTTATGAATCGCCAAAACGTCACCAAATGGGTACGAGAATTTCGAGAAGGAAGAAAGAGTGTGCATGATGAGAAGAGGAGCGGCCGGCCGTCTTTGGTGACCGACGATTTCATCCAAAAAGTCGAACAATTCATCCGTGAAGATCGTCGTTTGACTCTCGACAAACTTCTCGAGAAATGCCCAGGCGTTTCTCGATCTGTTCTGCACGAAGTAATCTCGAATCGACTTGATTACAGGAAACTGAGTGCTCGTTGGGTCCCAAAAATGCTCACAGAAAAACACAAACAGAACAGGATTGAGGCAGGAAGAATGTTTTTGGAACGTCATGACGAACAAGGAGAGGAATTTTTGGACAGTATAGTGACAGGAAATGAAACTTGGATTTCTTACACGACGCCAGAAACAAAAAGACAATCAATGCAGTGGCGCCATACACATTCTCCCAGTGCCAAAAAATTCCGAACAACTCTTTCAGACCGGAAAGTCATGGCATCCGTTTTTTGGGACAGGAAGGGAGTTATCCTAGTCGATTACATGGTCCGTGGCACTACCATTAATGCACAAGCATATTGTGAAACCCTTAAAAAATTAAGAAGTGCCATAAAGAACAAAAGACGGGGAATGCTGACAAAAGGAGTGTGTCTTCTTCATGATAACGCTTGCCCCCATACTGCTCGAGCAACACAAGAATTACTGCAGCAATTTGGTTGGGACATTTTGTTCCACCCACCTCACAGTCCTGACTTGGCCCCCAGCGATTACCATCTCTTCACCAAGTTGAAGGAAACTTTGGGAGGGAAAAGATTCGACGACGATGAGGACCTCAAACATTACACGACCACATGGCTACAGGAGGTGGCGCGAACGGAATACGACACCGGTATACAAAAACTCATCCCACGTTACCAAAAGTGTTTGGAACTTAATGGCGATTATGTCGAAAAATGATAAGATATATACCTTTAATGCTATGTAATTTTTTTTTAATAAAACGGTTTAGTATATTTTTGGTAAGCCTTGTATCTTTACTTTCTGGACGTCCCTCGTAGTAACAATTTTTGTTCATTAGTCTTGTTTAAAAAAAATACATGTATCATTTAATAATAATTTTTTTTAATCTTATAATTTTAAGGTAGCCCAAGCTCTTTCTGTATTTGCTCTTCATGCCCGTGGACCATTGTTTGATGACTACATACAAATATTAGTACAAGATTGTGATAAATTATGGCAATCTGGTCGACAGATGTGTGAAATATTATCATTGACTGGAAATCCATGTACTCAACCTCTTCATAAAGGCGGTTCTGTTGATGGCCCAATTAAGGAACCAGAACGAGATGACAAGTAAATCTACTTGTTTGAGCTTTCCCATTAAGCTATCCAGGCTATACTTAATCTCGAACTCCCAAATCGCTCAAGTGATTGACAACATAGTAATGTATAAACTTTCAAATTTGTTATAGTTCTAATCAACAAAATGGATTATCTACTATGGAGCATTCAAGTAGCGTTGTATATTTGTCAGCATGCAACTGTGGTCATAAACAAGGTACTCGAGAAGATCCATTTACCATTAAAGCTGCTAATTATGATTTTTATCAGATGATAGCTAAAGAATGTGTTTGTAGTTGTTTAGATCAAATTAATTTTCCAGTGTTTCAACCTAGTACTCAAGATTACAGGTAAAATTATATATTTATAAAATACATTTTTTTTTAATGCTTCCCAGCCCATAAAAGCAACCTCCCCAAAGGTGACATTTTTACTCCGATACTGGTGTTTAGTCTGTCGCCGGAGAGAGGAATGGGGACTTCAATTACTGATCTCTAGCTCGGCAATGAAGCTACCTGTGACCGAGTTTCAAACCCAAGGCAGTGCACGTTAAGCACTGCCTCGTTACTAACTCGGCCACACTGTCCCTCTATATAAAGTAAATTTTGTAATATATTCAGGGCAGCTCAATTATTTGCCAAACCTCCAGTAATCGCTGGTAGAAAAAACAGTGCGGGTTTATTACATACACCAACTCAACTAGGCAATACACAAAGTTTGAGTTTAGGAGGTGATTAAATTATCGTCATTAGTATAGCACATGCTCAAATAAATATTAATTTTTATTATAAAAATAGGAGTTTTTGCTAGTTGTCATTCTGAGGATCCAATCAATGATATTTTAGGAGAAGAGCCTAAACACAGAGAAAATACTGATAGACAAGGTCTTACAACAACTGATTTGATAAATAAAACAAAAAATGAAGATTCTGTAAATAGTAATCAAATAGTCATTAGAGTAATTGATACTGATAATGATGTTAAAGGTATACTAATAAAACTAAACTAATAATTGTGTTTTATTTTAATTTAGTTTATATGTACATGAACAATTCTATTAAAATGTAAAACAATTAAATTTAGATAAACTATTAGTTCGCCAACCTAGCACTACAGAATATCTTCCTGGAATGTTACACACGGAGTCACCATACAGTCTTTTACCACAATTTCCATCATGGTCTCTAATTTGCTTAGGTTCATCTTGTTTATACTCTCATAACATTGGACTTCAAGAAACACAGCATCCAGGTTTTTTGAACTCTACTGGTTACTTATTACCTTGGGATGTTACTGTTAGATTAGAGCACCAACCTCGAGATCGGTTTTGGAATAATGATAAAAACAAAATTAATTCTTCTCCAGTGCAACGAGGACGTAAAATAAAAGGTTCTCGAGGTAATATTGAAAATATAGATATTTTTGTACTTTAAATTATAGATAAAGGAGTTATTTTGTTATATTACATAGAATTTTCAGTAAAAATATTTATTGGAGTTGAATATGAATGTCCAAGAGGACATCGTTTTATGTGTTCTGCTCCTGATAAAATATTAACAACAGCAAGTAATGGTATTGTAAAAGAAAATGGAAATAAAGTGTCAAACTCAGACATGCCATTATACTTTCCATGTCCTTGCAGGTAATAAAGTTAATAATAATAATAATATATATATATATATATATTTTTTTTTAACAATAATATGCTGCATCATAATGATTTTAGTCTATAAATGATGTTTTATTTTATATTATTTGAAATATATTTTTTTAAGCAGTTCAGCTTCTTTAATGGCCCAACTTATGAGGATTCATGTTGTTACTCCTAAAGCTCCAGTACATGTAACATTAAATCCAATGGTACAGCCTGATGAGAACGGACCTGTTTTTGTTACAGGTTATGATAAACCCATTGAATTGACTCAAAGTACTTATTGGGTTCTTCGACTTCCGTATCCTTTTTTATTTTAAACATCATAATATAAAGTTAATTAGTATAAATCAATAAAAATATATAATCTTATCAATACTTAACACAATATTAGGAAAACTTATTGATAAATAAAATTAGTGAAGTCATACAGATATATATTTATGATTAACATTTTATTATTTATAACAATCTATTGCTTGTGCTAGAGAACGGAAAAATTTACACGAGTTATCAATATGAAATTGAATCTTGGTACCTACGTAACAAAGCATGACAAGTTACGAACTAAGCTACATACGCCATTATAAAAATATTGGTCATAATGATATAATTGTTATAGAAAAAAAATGTTGGTGATAGTGACAATCTTGATAATTTATTATGTAAAAAATAAAACCTTAAGAAATTATAATATTTTGTTTCACTAGTTGCAGTATAACTAATAGTACCAACAAGGGGAGGTTACGGTGATGATGTCACCAATTTTCATAAGATGTATATAAATTTAATCTATATTAAATACAAAATAAGTAGTATTGTGAATTTTTTGCCAAATCCCCCAAGTCGAGAAAATTTTTAATTATCTTAAATAGGTAATTTTTCTTCTACAGACAATAATGTGTTGGCGTCAAATATGTGACCTATGACGCGTACAGATACGGGATCGATTTCCGTCATATAATGAATTTTTTTGACGGTTTTCTCTTTGAATTATTAATTTTACGTAATATATATATAGTTTATAATACAATATAGTTTTATCTACATTCAAAACTTATTTGATGGTACAAATTATCGATTTTTCAATGATAAAATATGAATAAAATAAAATAATATTTTATGCACATAAATATAACTTATTTTAATATTAACCCGGTAAAAGTATATAAATTTTTAAATGAGAGAGATTTTTGAAAGGTTTAATTATATACAGGATGTTCAGTAAGTAAGGAAACGGGTTTCCATTGTTCTCATTGATTTTAATAATTTACCTTTTTCCTACCTGTAGATACATAAAATGTAAAAAAAAAAAATAACAAATATTACGTAAAATTAATAATTCAATGAGATAACCGTGATAAAAATTAGGATAAAAATTCATTATCTGACAGAAATCAACCGTATCCGTACGCGCATAGGCCACATTTTCTCGATTCAACATGTTATTGTCTGTGGTAGTAAAAATGACTCTATTTAAAGCTAATTAAAAATGTTCAAAGTCAATTTCTTCGACTTAGGGAGGCATTGGTAAAAAATTCAAAATAATACTTATTTTGTATTTAATATAGATTAAATTTATATAAATTTTATGAAAATCGGTTACCCCATCACTGTGACCTCCCCTTGTAAGTTAAAGATTTTTATTTTTAAGAAGTGCTTGTAATAGTTTATTTCTAAATATAATTTTTTATTTTAATTTAGATTACATGTTTAATGGATTATCCCATTATTGATACATTATCTACTTTTTTTTAATATTTAATTTATTGTAGTTTTAAAAATAAATTTTATTAATTTCAACTATTAGAATACATTGTTGGATAAAAATGAATAAATTAAAAAAAATTAATTTCTATTTTCTAAAAAATTATTATTAATTATTATCAAGTAATCTATTGTTAATGGTTCATAAGAAAAACGGTTACATATGCTATCTAATTACATTGCGACTACCACAAAACATAATATATTAGTAATAACTATTTTCTATATGGAATAAAACTTAAAAAATCTACACATTCAATTAGTTATTCCCTCATAGAGAGGTATTGTGAAAATTCAAATATTACGATTGATATTTATCATTATGATTGATATATTATTTCAAAAGAAGCAGCAGTATCCTATACTGAACTGTACCAGTTACAGGTTAATAAAATACAAAATCAATAATGTTGTATTATTCCTCTCTAGAATATCCTACATAAACTACAATTTGTTCTGTATAATTGTTTTATGTTATGCTGATTATTTATTTATTTATTTTTTTGAGAAATTAAGTAAAATAATTTAACAAAAACAGTTACATTTACGCTGGTGAACGTGGACCATATCTTTCTCCAAAAGATTCAACACAGAAAAATGTTGGTAAATTACTGAAAGGAGTTTACAGTGTAGCAGAAGCAACTTCAGACAACAATAAACTTAATGTTTGAAATATATAAATATATTTATATTAGTAAAAATGAAGACTATTTTTTGATATAAATAAATGTTCCTGTGTATAATTTAGCACAAAAAAAATATAATAAAACTTATAAATTTTTAGTATCTTTCATTAAAGATATATTTAGTATATTTAACATAAGATGTTATATTGTTATATAAGTTAAAGATACAAAACAATGGAATAGTAAGATTTATTCAAAGTGAATATTAATTAATAAATAATATTTTTTTTTTTTTAAATACTATTTTTATAGTTAATTTAAATCATATAATAAGAAACATTTTCAATGGAAATTATTTACTATCAGATACATTCATAACGATGCAATCACTAGTGGTACTTTTGGTGAGATGATGTTCTCTATACACCAAGTGTAGATACTTAGACATTAATTCAGCATTTGCACTTTCTAACATGACTACTTTTTTTTGTAATACACCAAGATGTCTAGCCATGTTTCTCAATTCATTTTCAGCTATTGCAAATCTAAATATTATATATATATATATATATATTAATCAATAATAATTTATTAATTAAATATTGAGTACTGGGGTATAAAATATAGTTAAAATTATTATTTCTTTAATTATAACAAATGTTTCTAAACTATTCTAATACTTTTTTCCCCAGTACTTAAAAAAAACTACATATAACATTACTGATTATCAATATTACGCTTTTCATTTTGCAAAATTCTAAAATTTGTTTCTACTTGTTTGCGGAATTCTTCTTCAGTCTTTAATCTATGTTTTTGTATATTAATTTGTGTTTTAAGAGATCTCATATGACAATGACTAGCTTCTAAATTTCCTCTAGAACAATACATTTTTTTTTAATGTAGTAATACTATCATTACACTAGAAAACTTATAATAGAAAATAATTAAAGTTTATTGAATAAATATTATAACAAAAAAAATTAACAATTATATTTTTTAGATAAAAAAGTAGACTTATTTAATATTAATATTTATACCCAGTTATATAAAAAACTTTATCATTTATAAAGACTCGCAATAATATTTTTTTTTCAAAATTCAATTCTGTATTAGTCATTTGACTGTAAAAACACAAATATGATTTAAGTAACTTTTTTTAAATTTATATCCTCTAAGTTAAGAAACTTAATTCTTGTGTAAGAAAACCTGTACAACTCGCAGTGCAAAATCAAATCTTGATACCTAAGCATTGTGGTTACTGTTTTATCAAGCTATACAGAATGCCAATAAATGAAAACTTCATATATCTACCAATATACAATACAAATAACAATCTTACACAATTACCTCAATGCTTCAATTTGCATTTTTCTTTTTGATTTATAATGTAAATGTTTAATTGCAAGATTATTGTACTTTTCACCAAGGGAAGACGCTATTGATTTTTGTGCTTCATAATCTGCCTATAAGTATTTAATAACAATAAAAATTAAAGAAATTATTAATAAGTACAAAATAATAACTTTTAAAGGGATTAAAAAGTTAACTCTTCATGGTCAATTATTAAAAGTGTATTGGATATTATATGAACAAAGAGGCTTTTTCCAGGATTAGATTTTTAACCCAGGCATCATAAAGATAAACTTTACCATTAGGTCACCGCGTATTTACGATTCAGATCCTAATACATTTATGTATAGAATGATAATATGGCGTGAGGCTGAGGGAAACATAGTAACCACACCAAACAAGCCAATCAAATTTCAAATAGCTATTATACCATGGTAGTTAATACAGGTTGATTTTTTTACATTAGCCGCTCAATTTTTCTTAAAATAATAACTATGTTAAGAAAATTAATTTTAGTTTTTTTAGTTTCACATACTTCATGATTTATCGATTATTTATAACTTTTTTAATTCATTCCTTATACTTTAAAATGGTGTCAAAATTTTTTTTTGATAGCAATATACATATTTAACTACCTTAAAAAATAAAAAAATAATCTTATTAAGAAAATGATTGGTCAATAAAAAATTTTAACTTGGTACTTCATAATTTTTTTATATTTAAAAAAATGAATATTAAGTTAATTTTATAAGGTTTAATTTAGATCATTTTTTGAAGGGTTAGGAGTATTTTGGGACTAATTATCAACCTTGTCTATTCTCATTAGTTTCACTCCAGTGGATAAATATTTACAAGGAGAATCAGATTCAAATTAAATTTTAATAATGTCATAAAATACTTGTCACTTCAAAATAATATTGAATTAAAGCTTCTAAGTTTTTTAATTGATAAATATAGTAGAAATCGATTTATAAACTAAACATGACTTAAATTTTTCAATACTTTAGAACTACTTAAGTTTATTATTTATTAATAATAAGCATATAGTTTCGCATTCACTAATATTTAAATTAATATATCAAATACAAATTCTTTTACTTGAATTTGTCTTAAATTTTCTAATTTGTTCAAAGATATTTCATCTAAATATAATGATGATAGTTTTTGTGGAGTAGTTTTATCACTGGACAGCAGACTTGGAGGAGTAGATTCAGGTCTGTAATACATACAACAAAAATAATTATAAAATATTATCACATTTGGGGAATCTATTGAAGTTATTAGAGTTCATGACACAGTTTAACTACACATATTTTACTAATGAAAATTATACAATCTAATTTAGTAGTTAAAAATATTGACCTATATACAAGGTGATTCTTTTTACAGTAGCGCCACTTGATTTCTCTTAAAGTGATTATTATGTTAAGACAATTATTTTTAGTATTTTTTAGTTTCATATATTTCATGATTAATCAGTTATTTATAACTTTTTTAATTCATCCTTTATATTTTATAATGGCATATTTAACTAGCTTATAAAACAAAAAATTATCTAATTAGGAAAATATTTGATAATAACAACTTTTAACTTAGTACCTCGGAAGTTATTAATATTTTTTAAAGTGAATATTAAGTTAGTTTTTTAAGTTTTAATTTAGATAAATCACTTTTTGGAGTTGGAAGTAATTAGGAGCTAATTACCAACTTTGTCTATTCTCATTAGTTTCGCTCCAATGTTAATTATTTCAAATACCACAAAATACTTGTCACTTTAAAGTAATATTAAATGAAAGCCATTAGTTTGTTGCCGTTAACTTTTGACTAATTTTTTCAGAAGTTATAACTATTTTAAAATATAGAGTATTGGTAAGATGTGGTTTATGTTATTTTTATCATAATATATTTATCTGATACACTCTATCTCCCTCTATATTTAAAAATGTTATTAATAACTGATAAATCAAGAAGTATATGAAACTAAAAAATTATTATTTTAAAAGAAATTGAATGGTCTAGAGTAAATGAAACAATCTGTATTTAAATAAAAATAGTAAATTATTAAATAAATAAAATGTACAAATAAAAAAATAATAATGTCAGACAATAATATATATATATATATATACAGTTTTTTTTTTGGTCTAATAAATATAACTAAATATTTTTTGTGATATTTAATTTATTTATTGTAGTCAGGCCCAAAATAAGAAAGTATAATAGGAATTATTCTAAAGTCTATGAAAAACAAGGACTCCCAATAAATAAATCTACAATCTATCTTTATACATTTAACACATATCAATGTCCTAATTTTAGGAATAATAATTAGATTAGAATTATCTTATAAATATTTATTATAATAATTATAACAGTTATTATATTATATTATAGTTACTATAATATTAAATATATACTACACTTACCCAATAATTTTGGCCTTCTCTTTAATACAATAATTTTGGGAAGTATTAATATCTTGAGATTTATGAAATGGATAATTTTCAAAATTATTTAGTGTTTTTGTCTTATCACTTAAAAATAATTTTGAAGTTTACAATTAATTTTTGCTTATAAATATATTATCAACAATGTCAAACATAATTTATAATAATTTAATATAAATATAAGAATTTCAATATTTAAATTACCTAAATAATTGAATACTTATACTTGATGTATCATTATTTGTTAAGTTCTTGTTCCATGAAATTGAATTGTCTAAACATTTTTAATAGGTTACTAATCTCACTTGTTTAATATAAAATAAAATATTTATTTTTAGCTTTGATGCGAAGCTGAAAAGGTTTAAAAATAACCATGCACAAACTACATTTTAATTAATTTATTGTTGCATAAATCAATAAAAAAAATAAAACTTACATATCTAACAAATTCATGCAACATTTTATATTAGAAAAATATATATACTCAGTGCTAATACTAGATTTTACAAGGTCTGGTAAACCATGGGATCTAGAAATCTGTCATACCCCAAAAAAAAAAATCTATGAAAATTACAAATATTTTTATAAAGAAATATTTCATTGAAGAGAAAAAATTTAATTAGACATCTTAAACATTTTGCTCGAATTTCGCCAATGGGCAAACCTATTAATGACTAATTATCAGTTGAAGTAAATAATGTGATGCTCATAGAAAAATATTCTAGACATAAAACATTATGAACATCAAAATAAATGTTAGAACACCACCCCCACACCCCCTAATTTTAGTTTAATATTAATTGATATATATATTTAACACTTTTTTAATTAATATATTATTAAGATTTATTTCAATTAGAAATTTGTTGCCTAAGATGATGTACATCACCAAACACACCTCTCTAGGTGCCCATTAGTAAAAGCCTTCTTCTACCATAGGTTTTTAAGAATGTAAACTTATTATTACCTGAGAATAAAAAGGTTCTATTACAAAATAGATTTATAGTAATATATATTAGTATTAGTTATAGTATTTAATAAACAGTTTTTAAAAATAAAATATACAGTTGAACCTTAAACTTTTTATTTAGTTAATTCACTTTATAAATATGTATAGCAACTTTATTTAGAGCTTTAAAGATCTTTCTACATTAAACAAAAAAAATTTTTTTTTAGCTGTTAGAACATTTATATTCTGTGGTAACGTTATGTCTGATTACCTCTAACAACTAAGCATGCATCCCAAACCATATAGGGCTTAAACACCTTGTGTAAGAATACACATTTTAGATATTAGTTTTAAATGAGTAGCATTGATTAGTTGAAATAAACATTTTGTTAAATTCCCTAGTTTCAGGCCTGCTGACTGTTATTAAATCTAATAACATTTGAGCATCAATTCGAAGCTGAGAAGGAATTAATTTTATAAAAATATTATATCGATTTTATCACTACAAATAATCAGCTTCTACTTGACAAATATTGGCAATCAATTTAGTAAATGATCCCAAATTAAATTTATCTAAACAATTCCTCCTTAATTCTTTTTATTATTGATAATAGCCTATTTTGATTTTATTAAATGCTTGAAACTTTTTAAAATGCATGGATCAATAATAAAAGTTAATCTAGAGTCAGTCTGTACTTAAAAAATAGAAGAGGCATTTACTATAGGCAGACTTCCTTTATTTTTTTTATGTTATGCCACCTTAGCTTTTCAAATTTTTTACAATGAGCAGAAAATTTTGTTACCCCTCGTACCAATTTTTGTAAAATGTAGTTAGAACATAATTTTAGATAATGTCAAACATTTTTTAAACTATTAAACATACCTCATTACAAAATGCAAACATTTTTATTTTCTTAACACACAAGATTTTTTGACCAACAATAATTGATCAATTGCAATCATTCTATATAACTTAAATACATATATACAAAGTGAATAACATAGATATGACAAACCCAATAACTTTTGATCCAATTATCATTACATTAAATTTTCTTTTTTTAATAACTTGCCTTCTAAGACAATGTATATTTTTTATTAAATTTAAAAAAATTGTCATTTCTTAGAAAAATTTTGTATGTCAATAACAGTTTTTATATAAGTATTCATTGAATTTTAAACATAGTGGTTATATAGATCATGTAGGCGCAGCTCCTACTGGTATATGTATACTTCATATCATTCCAACCCATTACCGTACATACCACAGTTCTAATATATAATGTATGTATTAAAACACATTAAATACTTGTCAGTGGATACTTATCCTAAAATTGTTATTTAGTCATAAAAATTTTTGGAAAAAATAAAAAATATGCTTAGAAGGTAATAGTTATTAAAATAAAAAAAATTAATCAAATGGTAATTGAAATAAAACTTACTTAATTTATCATATTTTTGTAACTTACTCACTATATATGAATTTTTAAAGCTAATTGAAAATTCTTTCCTACACATTCATAAAATTAAAATAAAACTCCTACAGTATCAAAAAAAAATTAAATTACATAAATTACCTAATAAAGAATCATTCCTTTCTTGTTTATTTAAAACATTTGACAACTAAAATTATATTTTTAAAAAAATGCATCACAAATAATGCAAAACATGTCTATATTACTGAGTATAAATAGATCTCAGAGGCAAAATTGGTTGATTAAAATTTTAAAAATTAATTAACCATCTGTTAATAAAATAATACTATTTTGTAGAATATAAATCTTTTCAAATATAATTTATAATCTAGAACACAAAAGAGATAAATGAACTTTTGACATCTTTCAGAAGCATTATTTAAAAATTATCAGTACAACAGTAAAGTAAATTCAAATTTTTTAAATACACTAAAATAGTGGCTTTTAAATAATTATCAATGCTCTACATTAGAACGCTTATTTTTCTACATTTGCCTATTCCATAATTTAATTCATTTTTGTCAAAAATTTCACTTACCATTTTTGTGCACTAGACAACCATGTTTTCTAAAAATTCATCATTAATATGTAACTTTTTACTAAATAAATAATAAGGAATAGTAGTAGGCTTTTTAGAAAAAAATATCAGAACCTTCACTATATTTTGAATTTCTAGATATGTCAATAATAATTTATTTAAAAGATTTAACAATAATTTAAATAATATAAATTTTAAATAATTTTCTTATTATTTTTTGGTGCTTTTAAGGATTACTGAATGGAATTTAAAAGAGAAATTTGAAGGATTTTTAGAAAGGACTTTTTCCAATAAAACTAGAATAGTTCTTTAAAAAATTAATTATATTATTTTAGAAAATTACTTTTCATGAGAAAATTTAGTTTTCTTTAAAAATAATGTTTTAGTTTTGCTTATGAAGAGTGAGCATATCACAACCTAACTGTTGTATTTATTTAATTTTTATTAAAATATTAAATATTTGTCTAAGTAATATTTAATTTGTTATTTACAATAAAAAAATTGTGTTTATAAATTTTTGTTATTATGTAATCCAAACACCTAATAATATTGACTTTTGTAACTTCTATAACTTTTTATACTATTATCAATTTAATGTAATATTTTTTTTTAACAATTTTTGAAAAGCACAATTATTTTATTTATAACTTATAGCAAGATTCTTTTTTTTTTTTTTTAATTACGAAATAACCATTTTCTTACAAGAAATGTTAATGGTTTAATATGTATTTTAGAATGTATACTTGTTAAGTTACAAGCATTTTAATACATAAAGTGGGTATGTAGCTTGGGTAGATAGTTTTTACTGGTATATATTTATAATGCATACTTCATAAACTTAATAAGTATTTGTTCTAGAATTTTTTTCCTAAAATAAATATTATCAATAAAATATAGATACTGTATCAAAAGATATAGGACTTTTAGAACATGTAAAACCACAGTATATATATAAGGGTAGTCATAATTTTAATGTTTCAAAATTTGGAGGGTCTAATCTAAAATACTTTAAAAATTATTTAACTAAATATTATTGTAGTTTGTTGAATCAAACAATATTTTCCTGTACAAAAATTAAACATTTTTAAGTTTCCAAGAAATTGAGTACCTAATTTTTAATGAATCGCCTTAACCATATATATTAGGTTAGTCGTTATTCATTGAAGTATGAATTTTTATTATAAATATTTTAAATAAGACCCCTCCAAATTTTGAATATTGTAAAGAAAAATATTATTTGATTCAAAAACTCTACAATAATATGTTGTTAACAATATTTTTTTCTTCTCTTTAGGAATAAAAAACATTAACATCAATTTTCTTAAATGAGAGTCCCTATTTTTACCTTAATATGATAGAAAAAAAATGTACAAATATTTTTTTTTAAATAAACCAATGCGGAAAATTTTTCAAAGAAAATTAAGGATACTTAATGATACCCTGTATATTACATTTGTGTGATACTGCATAAACATTTAAATACCTCTTTAGATGTATCATGTGAATTATCTTCAATTTTATAAATAGTGCAACCATCATAACAAATTAATTGATTTTCAAGCTCTTTCAATTGTTGTTTTAAAGACTCATTTTCAGCTGAAAACTAAAACACAAATTTTTTTATTATTAGTTTTTTTTTTTTAATTTTTATATTAGTAATTTTAATACTTTAATCATTTCCATTAATATCATTTCATTTTTATCAATTGATTTTCCATCCTCTTCAAACACTCTAAACTTCTTAAGTAAATTAAGTTCATTTGTAATATTTTTAAAATTAAGAATTAAGTTTGAAACCTAAATTGAAATTATCAACTTAAAAATGATAGCAAATAATTAATGCAAACACATACTTTATCATAAACATTATCACCATTTAATGATTCTAACTGATTTAAATCACATTCTAGCCTGGCAACTTGTTCTGCTAACACAGATGTTGTTTTTTCCATATCATCTATACGCTTATCGGCAATTACTCTCACATGTACCATATAATTTTCCATATCCTATATAAAAATAATAATTTAATGTATACATTTCTGATCAGATGCTAATAATTTATCAATTTAGTAATATGTATAATATATAATAATAATTATATAATATATTATAATTATATAATAATTATAATACAATAAATATAATTATATTTACTAATTATATAATTGTAATATTAAATAGTAATAATAATTTAATAGTGATACTAATAAACAATTATACAAAAAGAAAATTTTTCTTACTTCTAATTCTTCAATGTGTTTTTGATGAAGCTTATCAATCATTTTTCTAGCATTTTGCAAATTAATATCAGCATCAACTAACCATCTCCAAACATGAATTAGTTTTTCATCAGCTTTTAATCTATTGAAATCTATTCCTTCTTTTTCAAATCGTTGTTTAATATCAGACCATTCATTTTCACACTTGACAAAATTAATATAAATTGTTATCATTCAATAATATAACAAGTAAATTAGAAAAAAATAACACTTACCATGATCAGTAAATTTTGTTTTAATATCTAAAGAAATAATTTAAATTTTTATATTCAATAATTCCACTAAAACTAGTTCATTAAAAAAAAATTTTACATAAAATATGTACCATAAATAAATTTTTACTGAAGCCTATTTACTTTTCATTGCATATATACTTAATTAAGTAAATTCATGAATCAAATTTTAATGAAGGTCTCAATTAATAATTTTATATAATAAATTTATTATTATATTTTATTTATTATATTTTATATTAATAATTTTAAATAATCATTAATAATTTTGGATTTTTACACTAATATCAAAAAAAAAATGTATTGTACGTCATAAAAAGAAAACAAATTCCTATCAATATGTATTTAATAATTATAAATAAATTCATCAAAATATACTTGTTAACATGGTTTAATAATTATGTTACATACTAAACACAAAACTATATAATAGATAAACAGGTGATATGATGGTTGCATCGTCATATGATTTCCATGATACGTTTTCAGTCTGGCAATGTTACGGAGTCGAGTTTTAAACGTTTTATCGTAAGATCGCGCCACTGCATTGGAGACCGACTATTTATTTTAACTGAATTTTTGGAATTATTCCAAAACGTCTGACAACTTTTAACCTTATCAAATTAAAACTTTTATAATGAACCACAACATTAAAAGTAAATTAATCATGACAATGTTCAACAATGCAAATTTATTCGTCAAAATATAAAAATTCGCAACTTCTAAAAAAAATTTCTTTATTTTCAATTTTTTTTAATATTTTGGAACGTTTGACAAATGGAATTCTGCACCAAATTTAAGTAAATTTAAAAATACTTTATTATTAAAGACAAACTTTTTTTTTAATTAAAAAATAGTCGAGTATAGATGATATCTGACAGTGATTAAAATCACTATCATAGAAATTGTACCTAGGGTACTCAAATTTTGCCGTCTATTTTAACCTTTTATTTCGCTCATCAAAACAATTTTTCTCGCTATTTTTTTTATTCAAATTTTAATGCTACCGGATTTTTTTTTTGTCTGTTACCACATATATCATAAAAAGTTTTAAAGTGGGCATTAATGAGAAAAAGAATCCCAAAAAAGTACATTAATATAATAGAGGATATGTACGATGGCACTTGTTGCAGGGTACACAAAGGTTCTGCTTTAATCATTTTCTAAAGTGATGGAAGAAATTACTAGAGAAATACAAGGAAAAGTACCGTTGTGCATGTTTTTCGCTAAAGTATAGAGGCAATAGAAAAAAATAGAGAGGAAATTAGTCAAAGGCTAGAGATGTGAAGATCAGCCTTTGAATGAAAGGGATTGAGAATAAGTAGAAGTAAGACAGAGTATATAGAGTACGAGTTTGACAAAGGAGAACACGAGGTAGGTGAAAAGAAGAGTTCAGTGACAATATGCGAGGACGTGAAAGAAGAGGTGGAAAGTTTAAAGTATTTAGTATTATTTGTGCAAACGATCGGTGATATTGATGAGGATGTAAGACACAGGATTAAGTGCGAGTGATTGAAATGGAGAGAAGCATCTGGTGTGTTGTGTGATAAGAGAATTCCTATGAGGCTGAAAGGTAAGTTTTATAAGATAGTAGTGAGATCAGCTATGATGTATGGTTCAGTGTTGGGCGGTTGACAAGAAAGTAGAGCACAGAATGAGTGTAGCAGAGATAAGAATGCTTAGATGGATGAGCGGAGTGACTAGAGAAGGATAAGAAATGAATGTATAAGAGCGAGTATAGGTGTAATGTCAATCATGAATAATATGTGAGAAAATAGACTTAATTGGCATGGTCATGTTATGAGGAGAGAGGAATCAGAAGCTGTAAGAACAGTTATGTAAATGAATATTGTCGGAAGAAGAGGTAGAGTAGAGGAAGACCAAAAGAGTTAGAGGGATGATTGCGATATGAGGACGGCTGATGTGTGCATAGATGATGTAGGAGAAAGTGTTAAGTGGAAGTTTAAGATAAGGGTAGCCGACCCTAAGAAGTTGGGATAAAGGCGAGGAAAAAGAAGAAATAATCTCCGTAACGCCGCCCGACCACAAAAAACGATTGCGAATCTATAATCATGACTAACACCAATTTGACGTTGATAAGAAACGTATATCAATATTGTTAAATATAGAGTTTAGTACAGTTTTATTTATAACCATGGTCGAAGCAATTATATTATCATTCGTTATCATGCCAATAACAATCTTGTTGTATGAAAATGGCGGTTAAATAATGAAAACATTAGGCAATTATATTATATTTAGAGAGATTTTATTGATTTGCAATATTTTAACTTGAAATATAAAAGTAAATTTTTGGCCATAAAAAAATTAAATTATGAAAAATTCAAACCCTTTGTACCATTTTTAGTTAATTAATTGACGAACTTATTTAATTTAATTTTAAACGAATTTTAGTTAAAACATTTTTAAGTTGTATTTTGTATGTTCATATATTGCAATACAAGACATTATTATTATTAATCAACATGAGTATAAAAACATTTAAAACGATCAAGTCACAATTACCAGATTGCAATAAATTACCTGAATTATCAAGAAAAATTTTAGAAACCGTGGTAAGTTAAAATTTTATTTATTATTGAGGAGATATTTATTTTTTAATGAAAAGTATTAACCATTAATATAATATTCTTTAATTCAACATTATTTAGTTATATAAAACTTCTTGTATGCATTATCAAAAGGTGATTCTATATAAATTATTTGTAATGCATAAAATGTGTGTGTCTGTTTTTTTAACACAATCTAAATAAAGGTTTTTAAACATTAATTTAGATGGTTGAAGTAAAAAATAGTTAAGAAATCAATAATGATAGGCGGAAGTGTATCACCTAAATCACTTTTTCTATAAAAGTTGGCTTACTTCTAATGATTGCAGATTTAATTTGTGGGATTCAATAAATGTGTTACTAATATCATATCCTGAACTGTTATCATTCATCGGAATAGTTGATCATTATGATCTAAATTAAGACCTTAGATAATCATAAGTATCTATTATAAAATGTTATTTTATTATAATTCCTATTAAATAAGTTTGTTACTAGTTTTAGAATGCTATGTTGTATACTACTCTAATAGGTTTTACTCAGTAGGGTGATGGTGTCATCACATATTTAATTAATACTGTTGTTAAATATTACAAATTTTGTTGAAGTTTTGGTTATTTTTTAAAATTAATTAGGGCTATTATAAAATTGGTTAATGAAGTGTTTTGTAAAATTTGTGTTTAAAATATAAGTGTATCTTGATACAATCATATATACATGATCATATCCCACAACATTACTGTACCACCGACTAAGTTTATTATGTTGATATAGTAATACACATATTACTACCGGAGAGCAGTCTGCATACATAAACACTTTTGGAATTCACGGCCACTGTGCCATAATACATATGTCCCAAATAGTAGTTGACTTTTTACCATCATCGCGACCATTACTATTGCCTTATATTTAACATAAATTAACTACCACAGAAATAGTGTGTGTGTCATCGTCAGTTCCCTGTTGCATTATTATCATGTCTAGGTGTCCAGCAGGTTGTTTTATTTATTTATTTAGCTTACTTAATAAACTATTATTTTTCATTACATTACCAAGAGTGTTATATGTTATTGTAGTGTTCCTCCAAGGAAGTATAAATTAAATAGGAAACCTCAGTACTTAAGGTAGATATAGCCTAGCCAACTATCCCCTATTGATCCCTTAGAATACTGTTGCTGGGCATTTAAGCTCGCTTACTCAGCATCCTAATAGTTTTAAGCATAAAAAAATTCAAAAGATAAATTATCATTGTATCAGATTCATCTTAATACTATAAAATAATTTACATAAAACACCAGTGTTGAATCAAGTGTATATATAATTTTTAGGAAGTAAATTATAAAAAATAAATATTTTTTTTTAATAAAAATAAGAATTAATCATGTTTGATGCTCTGAATAATACTACTAGTCATTTTTAATTTTTTACACTTTAGATATAAGCACTTATTCTATCAATAATACTTTTTATAGAAAAGATTCTATCCTTTTCTTCATTACATGACAATTGATTTGATCTGTAAAATATAAACAAAAAGATTTAAATTTTTACAAACTTTAAAATGTTATTAAAATTTAACTACAAAACATTAATAAAAGATTTTCATAACAGATTTTTTTCTTAAAATAAGTTCTTCAAAATTACTATTAAGAAAGTTTTTTAAATATTTCATATACATTGTAAAAATGATAATTTTTTATTTAAATTGAAAAAATATTTGTTGTGTTTAAATTGTAGATTAAAAGTCCAAGAGATATTAAGAAATAAGTAATATAAAATATTTACTAAATGAAATGTATTTGTTATATCTTTGTTACCCTGCTGTATATGTGATACACTCCCTTAAAGTTTAAAAGACTTATTTAAAAATATTTATTTATCTATAAACAATTCTTTTTTAGAATGATTCGTTAAATGATTTAAATGAAGATGAAATAAAAGAATTGTGGACTTTATTAAATAATTTCCTTCAAGAAACATCAGCATCAAATGATAAAGATCTATTGAATTCTTACCAACTTATTCTAAACATAGCTAAACATGCTATAGATATTGCAGAAGACATCGATAGTATTTACAAAAATAAGGACTTTTTAAAAACAATACTTATTTTTCAAAGTTTTTACTCTAAAAATTATAAGCAAAAGGTAAATAAATAAACACATAATTCTCGTGCAATTATATAACATTTTTATTTTTTCTAGTTCAAAATAGAAATAGTGAAAATGTGTTTAAATTTTTGGAAGTTATCAACTTCATATATGCAAAATGGCACTGAAATACCAAGTTGTGATTCTTTGGATTTTGAAAATGTAATGACAAAATATTTTGTATTAACTTTTAAATATTTATTTGATGCTATCATGGCAACAAATACAAAAACTGATATGGTAAGAGTTATATAAGTATAATTAAAATAATAATACATAAAAATAAAATCATTAAAAATATTTCAAAAGTTAATTTTGGTAGATTTTAGTTTAAAAATTAATTTTATACATTAAAATCCATTCATAGAGAAGTTTTATTTTAAACTTAAAGTAAAACAAATAAAATATATCTTTGTTAATTCATCAATAAAACCTCATATAAATGTAAAAATATTTAAAAATTTGTATTAATTTAGAAGACTTTTTATAAATTATATGATCATTTTTATATGACGTGATAATATAGCTTACTATAATTTTATTTTTTTCAAAGAAAAATAAGGTCATATAAACTAAAAATATTAATATTTTGGTAAAAAATTTATGAAGATTTAGAAAATGTTCATTGTTTTATTTTTTTAATATTAAAATTTAATTCATTTTACATGATACTAATTTAATATCGATTTATAGAAATCATTGTCATCTTTGCTATGGGAGTTTTGTAAAGTTGTGTCTTCTTTATCCACTAACAATCAAATTTTATATATTATTGTAATTAACTTGGAAAATATGATGAGGAATACATTATTACTGGAAACCGAAACTGGTAGATTAATATTTGCTGATATATTTACAATTAATGTTCAGTTATTTCAGGTAAAGTAATATTAAATATATTAAGCCTATATGAATTGCTATGAATAGTATAAGCCAAATTTGTATACGTTTTTATTGTGACATTATTGAAAATTAAATGTGTAATAAAATAAATCTTGTTTATATAAAATAATAGAAATTTTCAATAATTATCAAAAATCAAAAATTTGTTGTTGTATTATTATATAAATACAATTTAATTGCTATATGATTCCTTGAATTGTTATTTGATGTATTATATCATTAGGCTTGTAAATTCAAATTTTTAAGTTAGACTTAATATTTTTAAATATTTCATATACTTTAATAGAGATATCATCAATCAATTAAACAAAATTTACCTCTAGCAAAAAAATTGGAAGCAGAAGCTTATGGAGAAATATATTTTATGGCTTGGATAAATTCAAATCCTTCAATGAAAGAAGTAACTTCTATTAGTATTTTAGTACCTCATTTAATGCCTGGTTTACATATTTCTTTTAAAAAAAAATCTAAAAAAATTATTTTAGATTATTGAACAACAAGGAATGTTTGATTTAATATCTAATACACTTACTTTAAAACGTGTTGGTAAAACATTCCGGACTTATCGTAATGCTTTATTATTTCTAAAAAGTATGCAAAGTCATAGAAAACATTTATTATTTAGTAAAGTTATTACTAAACTGTACGCTCCTATACTTTGGCGACAACTAAAGGTAGTGCTTAATATTTAATATTTCATTATGATGAAATATTTTATTAACATTATTTAGATAATCAATTTTATTCTAGAGTGAATTTAATGTAGTGAAATGCAATGCTACTGAAGTATTAGCTATAGCTTATCCTTTGGAAAAAAGAGGCGAAGGTCGAGAAAATTCATCAAGATTTTTAATAAAACAACAAAATGCATTTTTAGAGTTATTAGAAGATAATTGTCCTCAAGTTCGAATTGCAGCTATCAAGGTAAATTATATAGATTTTCAGCTAAATAACCATTAGGCTACAGTTTGTAACCTAATGGCTACAAATTTGACTGTTAATTTTTTTTATTAATATTAAATTCCTTCGCTTTCTAGTATTTTATATATTATTTTAAAGAGCTATAATATAATTATTTTAAAATTAAAAATATTTGGGATAGACACAATTGATTACTTTGATTTCACTATTAAAGTCGAATTAGTTAAAAATTATAAAATTTGTGGTGTGTTTTTTTTTGTACTGATTTTACTGTTAGCTATTTTTTTGTAAGGTTTATTTATTTATAAAATAATTTCTTAATGGTTCCACTCTATTAATAATTTAATTGTGAACTTATACTTATTATTTGTATTTGCATTTATTGCTATTATTGTTTAAATTCAATTTATTATGTTACAAAATTTAAGGAAGCTGATAGAATTAACTAATAAAGTTTTTATGAGCCTATCAAATTAAAAAAAAATTTCTGATGTCTATTATATAATCAATTTTTTTTCAAATTAATTATAATGTATAATAAATATTCAATAGCAAATACTATAAAAATAAATATAATATTTATTTGATACTAATAACATTTAAAATTTGTGGTTGATTACGATTTGATAAGCAAATAATAAATTTTTCTTTCTGACTATACAGATAATTTTTTACTTCTAATGAATTTCAAGCAGGTTAATCTTTTAAAATATTTTTTTAATTACTTAATGTGTTGATAACTTTTACAGGGAGTATGTAGCTGTTTACGATATTTTTGGAATACATTTGAAAATGATTGTTTAAATAAAATATTTAGTCTTTTTGCTCGTTTAATAGAAGAAAGTGTATTTGAAGTACGAAAAGTAATGTTTTATGGATTTTGTCAACTATTAGATGAAAATAAATCTTACAATTATTTTAAAACGCCAGCTTTTATAGTTAAATTAAAAAAAACACTTTATGATGAAAATGAAAAAGTTCGTCGAGCATTTATATATTTTTTACTAAAAATAAAAAAAGTTGATTCCATTCCAGAAAACACGAATAAAATTAATTTTGCTCAGATTGTAAATTTAAATGATATTGCCAGTGCACTTGCTGTAAGTATTAGTATATTATATCTTTTGTTAAACCTTAAAAAATTATATATAGTTATACAAATAACAGTATATTTCATATTCAGAAAATAATTTTTTTTGATAATGTAGTTGTTCTTTCTGTTTTATCTGGACTCACAGTGAGTTTATAGGGTATAGAGTTATGTTTAAGACACTATCCATTCATTTATAGGTCTATGTTTTAAACTTATTTAGAGATGTTTCATTTGGAAACTGCAAACACACTTTGATGGTTTTGGTAGACTGTACAAATATCTCAGATCTAACTGACAACACTTAAACTTGATATTATTATCATTTTGTTGAAATTTTTTTCAAAAATAATTATTATCTTCTTAGACTACATTCAATAGGTCACATAATAAGAAATTTTTGCAATACTTATTTCTTACTTGATTGAAAGTTGCTAGCTGACAGTGATCTGGATGAAAAACAATAATGTACTTCACATAATAGAATATTTGAGATTCTGGATTGAATTAATAATAAAGTTTTTATTAATATGTAATATGTATCACAAATTACTTAAGCAACTAATAACAGACATAACTTTATGCTCTCTCAAAAAGTACTTTACTCTCTTCCAGTCCTTAATTATTATTAATAGTATCATTTAAATAATTATACTTTTTAAAACTAAAATAATTTAAATTGATATAATTTGTTTATTTGCAGAATGAAAGTAAACAGAATGGAACATTGTTAGTAGATTTAATATTTGATAACTTTTTTGGTGAAAAAGTGCCCGATCGTAATGCAACACTTACCAGACTTAACATGTTTTACAAAATAAATCCAAGTGCATGTCGAAAACTTCTGATATATTCTAAAAGAAAATTAGATTTTGATAGTGCTTGTAAACTTATTTTATCATTATTAAAAACAATTTATGTTGCATTAAAAAAAAAAGAAGAATTGAAAAAAAAAAATGATAAAGAAAATAACATTCCTGCTAAAAAACAAAGAGTCAATCATGAATCAGGTATTTATTTATTTATGTTTCAACATTAATTAATTAGTATTAAATGCTTTTGTTTCCTTTTTTTTTAAATATAAATAAAAATAGATATTTTATAAATTCTTTTTATTACTAAAATTAATTAAAAATTGAATGTTGTTTTTCTGTTAAAGTTGTTTTTATTTTACTGTTAAAGTTATAATTTGTTTAGTATTTTTTTTTACTTTATCCGATGTAACACTTGAATAACAATTCACTGGAACTAAAAATATATAAAAATAAGAAAACCAAAAAATAGATTTATTATTATTATTAAGTTTAGTCATTGTTTTTAAAGAAGCCAAGTTACCTATTTTTTTTTTATATCCTCAGCCTTTGAATTTCTGTTAATGGAAATATTTAAGTTGTACTTAAGTTATTTATAATAATGATAATGCTATATTGTATTTTAAAAATGTACAATATCATTTTAACTCTAAATAATTATTTTAAAATAAAATAAAATAAATTGCCATAAAAATTATTAAGTTTTTTTTTAGGGCGTTTTTTTATTTTAACATATTTTTATGAAGAATATCTTTGTTGTCAATGCAATACCATGTATATAATAAGTCCATTTTAACAGTTTTTTAAAAGATATGTGATATTATGTTGACAACAACGATATATTGGTATATTATCATTTTTATCTCAATAAGAACATTTTAGAAATATTTTTAATGCCATTTAAATCCAGGTTTTAATTTATTTATTTTTATGTAATTGATAATTTTATGACTAATAGACAAAATATTATCTTATTATTTTAAAGTTGAAAATACATAAATCTATTTATTTACAAAATTTGACTATGGAAATCCGTGTTCTAACATGTACAAAGTGCATCATAACCCACTTAATTACTTACAGAATAAATATAATTTGAACATTTTTTTTTTTTTGGTGGCCTTAAATTAAATATTATTCTTGAATTATTAGCTATGTAATACTTTTTAAGTTCATCCCTTATGTCTTGTAAGGGTGTCAACTTTGTTTTTGAAATGGGAATACATATTTTGAATTTAATAAAATGTATCAATTTTTAATTTAATAGTAAATGGTATTTAAATGTTTAATATAACTTTATTTATTTATTAGATATAAAATTTTAAAGTTTCAAATTTTTGAGTATAAATGTATAATACACAATTGATTACAAATACAGGTAGCTAATTGGTTTTTTATGAAGTTGATATTCACAGATACACAGCATTTATTATTAATGGTTGTAAGACACATTGTTGTGAGTTTATAAATACACTAACTGTCAATACAGAAAGTATATCTAATGATAGTCATAATTGACAAAAAACACTCCATAACTATGATAGCGGCGTCATAGAAAACCAATTAACTACCTGTATTTGTAATAATCTTTCGTGTATTATACATGTATATTAACTCAAAAATTTGAAACTTTAAAATTAAACAGATAAAGTTATATTAAAAATTCAAATTCCACTTAAATATTTTAAAGATTTCATCATTTAATTTTTGTGAATAAATATTTTTTTAGCTTCGATGTGAAGCTGAGAAGGTATTGGTTTTACTAAGATGTGTTTATTTATTTATTTTTTTTTTTTTTTTTTTT